ATTCTTGGTTCTTAAACATGTTCAAACACAAAACTCAACCAAATGACCATTTATGAACGTAGAAACGACCTATATGAACATTCTAGTCATTAGATATATCTACGGGCTTACCTTAATGCTAAACGATGATTCCGGTGAAAAGACGGCGAAACTTCCGGCGAACACCACAGCTTGCTCCGGCAACTTGACACCAAATTGGTAGTACTAAAACGCTCCTCACACTCAGCTCTTTCTATTGGGATAAGAATGATGAAGAATGGTGGACAGTTTGGGGGGTTTTATAGTAGAGGGTTAGTAGAAGAAGCCATGGGTGATGTCCTTGTTCCCTGTTCCAGCGGCTGAGTGGAGCAAACGGCGATCTTCTACGGGTTTTAAACGCAAGTCTCTGATTGGGACTAATTTTGGTCCCAGTCGGGGTACACTTTTTGGTCCAACTTTCTCCGAATTAAAATCCGATTGAACCGTTGCGTTCAGAGAGTCGAACTCTACATAACGATATAATTTTTATTATTTATTGACAAACTTTATAATTCACATATTTTTGGGTCCTTCTCAGTAATTAATTAATTATCAATTAATTAATTCTGATAGGCCTATTTTTGGGGCGTTACAAGTGAAGCCAATCCTAGCGAGCTTTTGGCACTAAGACCTGTTAGTTCCATAATGTTGGCTAATCTTTTGGCAAAAATAGAATCCCATATTTGTTAGGTGTTTTACTAGGTAGAAACCTCTATTTGTTAGGAGAGGTTTATTTTATTTAGACTTCTAGAGCTGCTGCAGTTTTCGAAGTTGACACAGAAGATGCTACAACACGATGCTGCAACACACTGTTCGGGATCAGAGGTCTGAGCACGAGATTTTAAGCTGCAATAAGAATTAGAGACCTATTGGGATTGTGATTACATGATAATAACTCCAGCTGTGCATGTTAAGGAATCCCAACACTTTAGGCTACTTGTGGATCAAGATTAAGGAAGTTGAGTTCAAGCCAACTTCTACTAACCTATTCCTACTAGGATTATGTTAAGAGAAGCCTATAAAAACGCGGAAGGTCCCTGGGAATTACTGGGAGCGATTGAGAGGGAAAACAAAGAATATACGCTGATGTAGAGCATTCCCGTTGCGTCCCGGAGCTTCCCTTGCGTGAAGAAAGATACGATCTACATGAAGAAGGAGTCCTACAATGAAAAATAGATCGTGACAACCAGGAGGTGGACAAGAGCTTAAGGAGAGGGCTGTCAACACGTTTGTCCTCGTGATCTCGGTGGAGATGTGATAGCCAAAGCGGATCTGAACAGAGTTCGGGTTAGAAATCCTAGATTAGAAGTTTTGTCATAACAATTCGGAGAAGAGTGTCTCATCATGTTGTTATGTACTGGTGTAACTTGCATCTAGTGATTTTGTGGAGGGATATTACACGGACGTGGGCCCCGCAGACTAGGAGAGTTCTCCGAACTGCGTAAACATATTTGGTGTTAATTTTTTTACGCATTTTATAGTTACAGCATTCTGCCTAGTAGGCGTTGTAACACCCTCTGCATCATCTGCTTCTGTCTGTGTGTGATTGTGACAGAGAAGTGTTATAGCATATTGTCTGTCATCTGTTACTGTGACAGTGCTGCAGTATCCTTTCTACAGCAAAGTTGGTTGATTTGTTTGCATAGCTCTTAATTGGTGATTTCCGCTGCGCCCCACGAACTTACAAGACCATGGTGGGCAAAATGCTCTTTAGTATTTTTCCATAATTCATAAGGGTTATCAATAGTGAGGTATTCCCTCTTGAGGTCCTCATGAAGGTGATGATGGAGGAATATCATGGCCTTTGCCTTATCTTAAACATAAGCATCATTTTTTTCACATATCGTATCTCCCAAGGTCTTTGCTGTGAGGTGAATTTTGGCATCTAAAGTCCATGTGAGAAAGTTTTTTCTCGAGATTTCAAGTTCAAGAAATTCAAGTTTTGAGAGGTTTGACATTTTAGCTACAGTGTAGGAAAAAATATTTATTAAACCACACTACTATATAAAAAAAACGGGGGGACTTTTTGTTCTTCAAAATTAAAGTTGCATGTCTAGAAAAAAAATGTGTATTTTAAGCGCAAAACGCACACACAGAATACAATTCATATGTAAAGAAAATAACAGTGGCTATTTTAGAGGTTAAAAGTTAAAACAAATACTCATGCATACTAATTTTTCTACAAAGAATTTAGTCATAATGGCTATGTATCGGCTTTTTTCATGGGAGTACCCAACTTTACATGTTGTAACAAAAAAGTATTTCATCTTATATTTGTAACAAAATAATACCTCACGTTTTAGAATTATAACAAAGTGATATCCCCCGATCGGAATTGGCATATTCCGGTGACGGAGTGATGAATTGGCATCCTACTATACGTGGTTTTTTATGCTTAAGTGTATTTTACCTCTCTAATTTTTTACTAGCCCTCTCTAATTCTCTCAACTCGTTTCAAAAAAACTAAAGAAGAATTTGTTTTTTAGAGTTTAAACTCATAACTTCTTATTTTTTCCAGTTTGTTTGATAGTTCCTTTCAGTTTTTTCAGTTCATTCAATATTTTAAATTAAAAAATAATAATTAAACTACTCTCTCTATCCCTAATTAAATGGCATGTACACTATTCACGTGGTCGATTTTTATTCACTTTAGTTAATTATTATGAATATAAGAACAATACTAACAAGAAAATTAATAATAATAATAACAACAATAATAACAATAATAATAACAATAATAATAACAAGAATATTTGTTTCAATTCTTCCCAGTTTTTTTTAGTTTTTTTCTAGTTCCTATAAGTTTTTCAATTTTTCTAGTTTCTTTCAAAATCCAAATCTCTTTTTCCAGTTCTAAAGAACATGCTATAATTAAGCTTCCCAATTCCAATGTTGATCTAATATCAGCGTCCCAATTTTTATTTCTCACATTGCCCATTCTCCTTAATTTTCTATCTTTTTGTCGTAATTTTCCATCTTCCATCGCCTGCGAGATCTTCCAACACTTTTTTTTTTAAAAAAAAATTGGATTTCCTATTCTATTTAGACCTTTGGGTTTGCCTATCTTCATGGAGAGAGCATCATTTCGTCTTTATTTGATTTTTTTTCTAATAAAATATGTTTTCTAAATATAATAAAAAAAATGTTTGCAATGAATTAAACTATATTTTAAAATTTTAATGCATGTTTAATTCAATTGAAAGTTAATCTTATACCCAAATTTGACATTAAATGCAAATAGCTCAACTTAGAAGGAAATAGGTTTTTTTTGTTGAACATAAAAAAATTAAGCAAAAACAATTACTACGTACTATGAAGAGAAGGTACTCTGGGCTCACCATTTAGGGGGTGTTTGTTTTTTCTGCAGGAAAAGGTCTGCGGTCTGCGGACCACTACTGTAGACATCTGCAGAAGAAGTGGTGGACCGAAGGTCTGCAGTCTGCAAGAAGAAGACTGTTTGTTTTTTTAATGTCTGTAGACTGCTATATAAATTAATGGTGGTAGTGTACGGTGGTGGTGTATGGACGATTGTGGTGGTGGTGGAGGGTGGTGGTGGACGTTGACGGCGGTGGTGGTGGACAGGGCGGTGGATGGTGGCGGTGGTGGTGGACGACGATGGTGATGGACGGTGACGGTGATTGTGGACGGTGGCAGTGGACGGTTGTGGTGGTGAAGAAAAGTAGAAAAAAAGGGAGAATATGTTAGAAGATGTTAGAAGACATTGGTTAATGTCTTCTCCAAGAAGATGTCAGGAAGACCTTTTTGAGTGAAATGTCTTCCAAAAAACAAACAATCTGCAGAGGTCATCATCTGCGCGCGTCTGCGCGGCGCAGACAAAAGACGCCAGAAGGTCTTCTGGCAGAAAAACAAACACCCCCTTACTCTTCATTGATCACACTGACTCGCTTAGTGGCTTCTATAACCTTTTTATTTGGACGATGCTACATTCACACCAAAAAGTGTACACTCATTTGTACCCCACAGTTATTCGCAAACATTTTGATGGTTTACACCGACACAAATGTTGTTGCGTTAACAAAAATTTACACGGACACAAATATTGGTGCGTTAAAAAAAATTAGTTTTACACCAACACAAAATATTGGTGCAAACCTGCGGGGTACAAATTGAGGTATAAATGTTGGGGTACACATAGCTTAATCCTTTTTATTTTCTTGTGATGAATGGAAGGGCAAGTTGGTATTGTGCTACCAATTCCTCCTCCACCCATCATTGAGATTTTTTGTTGGTGGGTTTTCTGCATTTTTTGTAAAGGTAAGAAGTGTTCACATGATATATCTGAATTCGATTTCTAACAACTCTGCTAGGAGACAATTATGTTAAGCACATCTACAAGTACCAAGTGCAAATTCTACCTTTCGTTTTTAAACTGTGATTAAAATCTAATTTACTTCATTTGAAAGACGGTCCAGCAAGATCTAAAAGACCCTCGAGATGAGACTCATATTCTTTTAGAAAATATTTTTTTTTTGAAAAACCTAGACTTTTTTTTTGAAATGAGACTTTTTTTAAAGAAAAAGAATGATCTCATCCTCGAGGGTCTATTCAAACCCGACCGAATGATAATTGAGGAATCAAACTCTTTGCCTTGCCAACTATATACAATGCGGGGCATATTTTTTCTAAAAGCATCGGAGATAGTGGTTGTATAGTGCCACTGCTGGCGCATCGAAGAAGAATTCCTAAGTGGGACCCATCTCTTTCTCTCTGCTTATGTTAGTGATGTCCCTACCTCCCACTTGTTGGTCTTTGCTGTTTCTGTCCACCAAGCACCCCTCCCCACCCAAGGGTACCCCCCTTGTTTTTAATTTAATTAATACGGAGTACTCCGTATTATACAAGCCTTTCTTCTTCTTCTGTTCTATCTCTCAATGTAATGAAGCCCCAGTCTGTCTTCTCCCTTCACGCAATCAACTATACCGGTGGTTTATTCTTCAACGCCTTTGTTGATTGGCATGTGATGTCTTCTATTATGCGAACGTAAAGATATGTGAATGAGTTTGATCCAGGTTCATAATTTTTTTTCTTTGGGTTTTGGTTTTGCCTTTCCATTTCAGTGATAAAGGAACAGCCTTTACTTTGGTTCTGGGATTTGATTGGTCTGCTTGTGGGGTGTTTTCTTTTCTTTCTTTTGTTGGAAGTTGACCTGAAGGTCCTTTGAGTGTGTTGGTGTTTGGAATTTGGACTCTGTTGTCCAATTTGGATTGGATTTGAGTGTGTTTGGTATTAAGGTTTCATGCTTAAGGCGAAGCAATGGAGAGGTTCATTATGGCCAACTTTCATCTTCTTTAGCATTCACTATTCATATCAACAGCATGAAAAACTTTTTGAAGAAACTCCATTTGGGGTCCAATCACTCTGAGGATTCAGAAGGGTCTGCAAAGGGGAATAGGTTGGGTGATGTGTCTTCGCCCGAAAGGAATTTAAACTCTAGATCACACCATGGGTCTGATCATAACAAGCCCTTTTCAGCAATTTCAGGATGGTTGAGCTCTGTTTCAAGCAGACATAGTACTCCTAGCCTCCCCCCTCCTTCAAATTTGAATAAAACTGGCATAATGGGACCTTGTGATTCTGTGAGCAGTAGCTGTGGCTTAGAGGCTACTCTGGAAGCAGTGAGACTTGTGTCTGAGTCTACAAATTCGAGGGATCCTGATATTGAAGAAGAGTACCAAATTCAGATGGCTTTAGAGTTGAGTGCAAGAGAAGACCCTGAGGCAGTTCAGATTGAGGCTGTGAAGCAGATCAGTCTGGGATCTTGTGGACTTGAAAATACTCCAGCAGAAGTTGTAGCATATCGCTATTGGGTATGTTTATTGTTTTTGCAACCCTTTTTTATTTGATATGATATATGATTCCTTCACTCAAATATTGGTATTTAAGAGAATTCCATCATTTTGCTATATGTGAATACTAAATGGTATGAATACCCAGTGTCGTTGCCAATTTGTCATGTTGAATTGAGTGACCAGAGCCTGGTCAAAGGGCGTGTGATTTTGAGGTTTTGTTTTGAACTCTATTTTTTTCAACTTAGCAGTTAAATTAGTTATATCACGACCTTGATACCGAAGTCGTTTCTTAAGTTCTTTACTCTTTTTTATTTTTTTTCAAATCGATTCGGAGAGGAGGTAACACTTTGGAACCAAAGGGAATGAAAGAATCCGTGTGATCTATGTCAGGATTGAGTTATGTAAAATCAACAATTCAAGGCCTTCAGGTTTTTACTCAATGGAATGCATATTAAAATTGCATGCAAGATGCCATGCCTCAATTTGTGTGGTTCAGCATTTTTGTGCGTTATTCTGCTTACTCTCCTATGGTTTTGAGTGGATTCTTCCTCATCAAAAATCTCACTCTCCTATCTAATTGTAACGATGTTCTTAAACCTTTGCTATTAAAGAATGTCGATGAATTTGGGATAGCCAGTTTTCTCAGATTGGACATTGTTGCCAGTTAGACACTTTGTGTCCAAGTTTCACTCAATTTTTGTGTATGATGAGTACTCCATGCTTGTAAAATCAAACTTTCTGAATAATGCCTTTTTCTTCTCTAACGCATGCTGTATCTCATACTATAGATTTCTCAATGCTTCACAGAATTACAATGCTCTTAGCTTTGATGATAAGATCCTGGATGGTTTCTATGATCTATATGGCATCTTGACCAGATCCACTTCATCGAAAATGCCTACCCTTGTTGATCTTCAAAGAACTCATGTATCTGATGGCATAAGGTGGGAAGCCATTCTTGTGAACAGAGCTGCTGACTCCAACTTGTTGAAACTTGAGCAGAGGGCTTTGGAGATAGCTGTTAGTTCAAAATCTGAACCCTTTAACTTTTCAAGCGGTGATTTAGTGCAGAAGCTTTCCGTATTGGTTTCAGACCACATGGGAGGCCCTGTAATGGATCCTGACAATATGTTCATAGCATGGACAAACCTTTGTTATAAATTAAAACAAACCCTCGGAAGCATGGTTTTGCCTATTGGTTCTTTGACCATTGGATTGGCTCGCCATCGTGCTTTATTGTTCAAGGTATATTGTGCTTTACTAGTCTTTATTCCTTCTTGAAAATGATTGCCATTAACATTTTATTTTTAGAACTCAAGGTTTATATACTCCCTCCGCCCCTATTTTGATTACAAAATGGGAATTACGAGGTAAAATCTCACGATTTTTGAAATCATTTTATTTACAAAATTCGTACATGAATAAGAAATAAAAATTACATGTTAATTAACTACATCAAAAGTTCTACGAAACAAGAGGTGACAAGAATATTTTATTTTATCAAATAATCAATGAAAAAACACAAACAAACAAAAGTTATCGAGAAGAGTGAGAAAATAAAATTGTAATCAAAATGGGGACGGAGAGAGTATAATGAATGAATACCTTTGTCATTATTATTATTATGTCTTGACAAACATGATCAGGTTTTAGCTGATAGCATAGGTGTGCCTTGCCGGCTTGTGAAAGGACAGCAATATACGGGATCTGACGATGTTGCAATGAATTTTGTAAAAATGGATGATGGAAGGTTGGTGTCCTCTTGTCTTTAACTTTATGCACTTTTCTTAATGTAACTGATGGTCGAACGACGCAATTATCATTTGACCCATATCATATAGCGTGATGGACAAGGCGGATTTTAAAAAATCTGCAGTAACTGCTTCCAAAAATATCTTCTTTTTTATTTTAGCAGATATGTGACTGAGATGCCTGTACCAAGTTGTTGACCATTGGGTTTCGTAGAATGACAACTTTTCCACTTGAGGTCCTTTGAAACTTCCTTTTGTGTTTGTGTTTAAAAATCAATGTTCATTGTCTGTTCCAAGCTAAGCATTTTCCCGCTAGGTGAGGCCAGCTATATGAATCAAGTGGCATGTGTTTGGGGTTAGAATCATATCCTCTGTAAGCCCCATACTTAATTGTCTCTGGGAAATTCAACTTGGGTCTTCATCTACCCCCTCTTTATTTTGCAATTCAGTAGTGTCACTCTTTCTAACAGGTATTATGGCCAAACTGTTTCAAACACGTCTCTCTCATCTTGTGCTCATTCAGAGATTCTCCTATTTTTTATGAGAGTATTCAGTAAACTTTAAGATGAAGTTGCTTCTAAAGAATTTCCTGAAGCTTGTTGAAAACATGTTTATTTTACGACAACACATAGCATGGGATTTATGAAAATAGCCAAGTAATGAGTAAAATTACTTAATTTTCAGAGAGTGCATTGTAGATTTGATGGCAGCCCCTGGCGCTCTTATTCCATCTGACACTGCAGCAGGGCAGGCAGGGGAAAATGAAGATTTTCTNAGGAACACTCATTCTTATTCGCACGCAAGGTCTCCATCTTGGACTGAAGGGGTTAGCTCCCCAGCTGCACGTAGAATGAAAGTGAAAGATGTTTCACAATACATGATGGATGCCGCCAAAGAAAACCCGTATCTTGCCCAGAAACTACATGACGTGTTACTTGAAAGTGGAGTTGTTGCACCTCCAAACTTGTTTGCTGAAATTTATTCTGAAGGGTTAGATATCTCAAGGGATAGGGTTGGCGTGGAGTTTTTGGAGAGAGGCAACTTGCAGAAAAAGAAGGGTGGAGATTGTCTTGAACGAGCTTGCTTCTTGCCTCCCTTGCCACATCCAGGTAAAAATTTAAAGGGAAATCGGCGTGGGAAATTGGGTCAAAATGTAGAGGAAGAAGTGAATGAACAGACTGGTTCTCCGAAGAATGAAGCCCCTCAATTGAAATTGGCAAGAAATATGCCTGTTGCAGCAGCAGCAGCAGCGGCTGCTGTTGTTGCATCATCAATGGTTGTAGCTGCTGCAAAGACATCCTCTGATCCGAATGTTGACCTGCCTGTAGCAGCTGCAGCCACAGCCACCGCAGCAGCAGTAGTGGCAACTACTGCAGCCGTCAGTAAACAATATGACGATTTGGATGTCTCTGCCCAGCCACCAGACAATCTGGCATATATTAATCCATTAGAATGGGTAAGAAGTTATGGGGATCCTACTGCTAGTGAGCAACAGGGAAGCGGTGACCGAGTGCGTGAGGTACTTGGAGCGAATTCAGAGGTTGAAAGAACATCAGATAGGTCGACTGGGAACGATAGCTTAAAATCTGATGTAATGCTTGATGACGTAGCAGAGTGTGAGATCCCATGGGAGGAAATTGTCATAGGAGAGCGTATTGGCCTTGGTATTTTAGCTGCATTTGACTCTTGCGATTTTAATTTGCAAATACTTTTGCCATCTAGTTCATTTAGTTGAAAGATTGTCACTTCCTCTTCTATTGCAGGATCCTATGGGGAGGTATATCGTGGAGACTGGCATGGAACTGTAAGTGTTAAATTCTTTTCTGTAATAGAATTGTCTTTTTCCATTGGATAAATATAGTATTGGAGTTTGGATGATATCCAAGTGTTTTCAAAGTTATGTACCATGTTCCTTCATGAGATTTAAAATTAGGCATATATTAGGTTTAGACCATATTTTAGGCTTAGTTGTTTCTAGTGTTGCAGAAACCTGGTTCCCCGTGGTTGAGTTCACGTTATCGCTATTATATTTTGAGTCTTGTTTAAGGTCATGTAATGGTGATGTATTTCCATTCCCTATCTTAAGACTAATTAAAGATTTCATTTTTTCAGGAAGTTGCTGTCAAGAAATTTTTGGACCAAGATATTACTGGGGAATCCCTTGAAGAATTCAAAAGCGAGGTACCATCTGCCTCTTCTTCTGTTTTCCATTCATAATGTTAGAGCAAATTATTTTCTTCTATGTAAAATAAATTCTTTAAATAATCTTTGAGAGAATATTGGCTAATTGGATAGTTAAATTAATAAATTGGTGTAGAACTATTGATAATCATTCATGTAGTGTCGTAATCTAGTTAGAGCCTGTTGAATTTTTTGCTCCAACAGTTTTGGTACACTTTGAGTGTCTCTGTAACTACCAATGCTTATAATTATTGGAGTAACTAAGTGATCTAATCCTCCCTCCGCCCCCATTTAATGTTGTGGGTTTTACTTGGCATGTGTGGTTGGGGTTTAGAAAGAAATGACAGAATATGAACTGGACATTTTTTTTGCTTAAAATGGAAATGAAAGACTATGTGTGGACAACCTGAAGGGACTAGCTATGATATTACAACGAGCCGTTCATCCAAGTTGTCTTTCCCCATTTATTTCTGAATGATGGCAATGATGACAATAGGTTATCGCCAGAGAGTTTCAACTGAGACAAAGCTGTCTTTACGCATCCATTTCTGAATGTGGTTGCTTCTTTTCTTATGGGATTTTATGTTTAGATATTCAATTCTAAATATTTGATTACTTTCATGCTTTTTCTAAAGGTCAATTACTTTCATGTTGTGTGTGCGTTAATGGATCAGGATTTGACATAAGATGATTTTTAATATAAAAAACATTTGGATTGCAAGGTACGGATCATGAAAAGGCTTAGGCATCCAAATGTTGTTCTATTTATGGGAGCTGTCACTCGTCCTCCAAATCTTTCAATTGTCACAGAATTTCTACACAGGTACTCAAAAGCTATAAATTCCCTGCACAAAACTCTATAAACTTGTAAATTTGATGAGATAGTTAATACTCTTATGTTGGTAATGACATACTCAAACTTTTGAAACATCCCATTTTCTTGCAGAGGCAGTCTCTACAGATTGATACATCGTCCCAACAATCAATTAGATGAACGGAGACGATTGAGAATTGCTCTTGACACAGTATGGTCTCTAGTTTCCCTATTTCTTTCACGCATGTACCAGTTGGGACTTGTGCTTACTGAGTTACTGTACATTTTACCTCATGAATGAATACGTATGTTATGCATTTAAAAAATGTCAGGCACGAGGAATGAACTACTTGCATAATTGCACCCCAATGATAGTTCATCGCGATTTGAAGTCTCCAAATCTCCTAGTTGATAAGAACTGGGTGGTGAAGGTGATTTTACCTTGAACAGTGGATCTTTATAATCAAGTAACTTACTAGCCAGCTACACTTGAATCTGCGGTTGTGATAAGAATGGAGTTCGCTACTTGTAGGTATGTGATTTTGGGTTATCAAGAATGAAGCACAGCACGTTTCTTTCTTCACGGTCAACAGCAGGGACGGTAAGGAGGAATTACTAATTTTGAGGTTTTCTCTCTGCATTCGGCATTGCATGTTTAAAGCACTATGTATGGTATTCTTATCCTTCTAATGTATTATGCTTGCATTATAGTAGATTACCTTTTTCTTGTTTTCTTTTTTTGTTTTAAGTTGCGCTTTTCATTGTAGAGTTGTCTGAAATGCTTCTACCCGACTTATTTTTCCTTTTTGGTGCTTATCTGCATTCCTCATCTCACATTTCATGATTTGGTGAATGTCTTGTTTGGTACTACCCTTTCTTGGTTGAATACTGTTAGCTTAGCATTTATACTCACTACTCTTTGATTCTGGTCCTAAATCAACCGCGGCTCTTTGGAGATATTTGGTTTGTCATGCTTCTTCTGAAAATTTGTGATTCATTTTGCAAAGCTAATGTAAAATATGTACTCTATATTTGCCTCCTTAAAATCAATCACATATGTTGTATGTGATGTTTCTGCTATGTGCGACAGATGTAAGTGTCATTCATGTTACCAAATGCTAGCTAGGCCATGCGGGAATTGGACTCAACTAATTTTATTTTATTTTATTTTTTTTTTTTTGTAGGCAGAGTGGATGGCTCCAGAAGTGCTAAGGAATGAACCATCTGATGAAAAGTATGTGATCCAATATTAGATCGTTTCTAATAATAGTAAGACCTATCAAATTTCAGCTAAGTAAGAACTAGTAATCTTGGCCTCTTGGGCTACCAACTTCTCAGTTTGAAAAATGCTTGTTAGTAGGCTCTGAAGTATGATGATGATGATGATTATTATTGTTATTATTATTATTATTATTATTATTATTATTATTATTATTATTGTTGTTGTTGTTGTTGTTGTTTCTACACCATGCAGATGTGATGTATATAGCTTTGGTGTGATATTGTGGGAGCTTTGCACCCTGCAGCAACCGTGGGGAGGCATGAACCCCATGCAAGTTGTTGGTGCTGTTGGGTTTCAGCACCGTCGCCTAGACATACCGGATGACATGGATCCTGCCATTGCAGACATCATTAGACAATGTTGGCAGACGTGAGTATATTTTTTCTTTTGGGGCAATATAAGATGCATGATTTTGGCGACGTTATCCATTCAATAACACTCTTGCAGGGATCCAAAATTACGCCCGTCATTTACTGATATCATGGCTGCTCTAAGACCTCTGCAAAAGCCGGTTAGCAACTCCCAAGTCCCAAAGGCTCATCCGCCACCCGGAGGCCAAGGGAAGGGTAAGCTGTTGCAGAATCCAGAAGATTGAGTTTTCCAACGGAGTCAGCCGCTGAAGACACATATACTGAATTGAAATTTATTTTATGGAAGGAGAAACAATTCAAATTATTCGATGCATTGAATGGTCGGTGCCAAAACATACTCCATACTAGGATGTGCCATTTTTTTCTCTTTTTTCTTTCTTTCTTTCTTTTTCATTTTTTTAATGTTTGGCTTATATATTCATTTGCCATCATCCTCCAAGTGTGAATTCGTTTGTAGATTAATTTTGGAATCTTGTGTAATTACACATGAACATTGCAGGGCCTTTAATCAGCCTCAGCTTCAAAAAAAAATATGGTGAAAAAAAGTTAACAAGTGATTTTTTCCCCTAATGAAATATACGCTTTAGTGGTGGGTAATGCCCCAATTGTTACTCTATTTTTTTTAAAATAACTGCCCATTATGATTTCTTACGTACATTAAAAATTGTATGCATGTGGACAATTCATTCTTAATATAGGTAGAAAATCAATCAGTGCAAAGTTCTTAAAGAATGGAAGCAGTATCGTTTAAGAACAATTGAACCCATGCAATGCTTTTTAGCTTTCCCTTTTTGGAATTTATTATATACTCCCTTTGTCCGAACATGTTCTCCTCACTTTCCTTTTTGGTTCTTTTGAGAATATTCTTCTCATTTTCTTTTTCAATATACTTTTTAAGGATAAATTTCAATAATATTCTTCTATTTTATCTCTAATGGAATTTTTTGTTTCTTTTTTATTAAGAAAAGGAGATTGAAAAGTTTATAGTATGTACTTTTTTTTACTATTTCTTAACAAGCGTGTCAAGTCAACACGGAAAGAATATTTTTTGAGACCGAAGGAGTATTGTTACTTTAAACCCTTCGTGTTAATAAATGAGTTTTGTGTTACATTAAATGTTCATCACTTTTATGAATTAGAGATAATATACCAATTTTTTAAGTGGTTTAAATTGAGGGCTTAAGGCTTCACCTTTGGAACAAAACTTGAAGTGTCAAAAAATAATAAAATCATTAGGTGACCCAACATTCCCCAACAAGGCCGATGTTTAAAATAAATACTCCGGCATAGGGGTGGACACGGTACCGGTTCGGTACCATTACCAGTGCCGGTACCGCCGGTACCTGCCACCGTCGCCGTCGACAAACCCGTTACCCGGTTCCGGGAACCGGTACCAGTACCGGCCAGCTCAGTACCGGTTTCGGTGCCAGTATTTCCTTACCGGCACCGGTTCCAGTACCTAAAATATATTTTTTTTGCTTTTCCTGCTGTCCACCTGCAATTCTGCAAAAAAAAAAGGTAAAGGGCTGGGAGGGGGTCCCCTCAAACGGCTATAATGTCGTTGAGGGGAGGGGGGGTTGGGGGGGTTAGGGGAGGGGGTGCAACCTACACTATAAATACACCATTTTTTTAAAAAAAATATCACACCATTCTCATTTCCTCTTAATCCTCTCTAATTCTCTTAAATCTTAATTCTCAATTCATATTATCTCTACATACATTTTATATTTATATAATAATATAAATATATATTAACATAGTATATAATATATAAATATATACTCATATAAATATATAATATTAAATTTTTAGTTATACATTCATTATTCATATAAATATATAATCATATTGGTAGACAATATACTAATATTACTTGTAACACCCTAATCCGTCCAGGTCTGCAGCCGTATTCGGACTAAAGTATTTAACTTGGTAATCGTAAAAATTTAAAACTTTTCAAACACACTTTATTAATCTCAATAATTTTTCATAACATATACAGTACGGAGTATTCAACAATATTGCGGAAGCGAATTTAATTTTGACATATCATAAATCATTTCAAACTTGTCACATCCATCCCGACAATCTCGCCCCATCTACTGCCAGGATCACAGTGTTCTTTCTGTTTTACCTGCGTGTAGCAAATAAAACAAACTACACGTTCAGCGGTAAAGCTGAGTAAGCATATCTAATGCGTCGAACATCCATATAAACTGAATCTAAATTCATAATCAAATCATTTGATATCATGCACACAATGTTCATTTCAGACAATCATAGTTTTGGTATTGTTGAGTTCATATACCGTGTAACACCCCAACCCGCGTGACTCGAATACGAGGACCAGCGGATTGGGTTGCTACTAGATTGGTATGCAGACACAATAAATTTTCAAAACGATTAAAAACATTTAATTCAAAAAAATATTTAAACATCCATCGGAGTTAACAAAATGGTGCAGAAGCCTTTAAGTACATACTCAAAATACAACCTTGGGTTCTTGCCCTTAAAACATAATTAATTCAAACTTAATATTAAATAATAAAATCCTCCAGCCAGCATCCATCCATCATCTCGTCCTCTCTGCCTTCCAGCATAATTCCTTATTCATCATTCTTGTTACCTACGTGTAGCAAATAGGAAAAAGGGCTACACGCTCAGCATTGAAGCTAAGTGAGAACTATCTAACGTTTCGACTACGCACATAGACAAACCCACTAGCTCATAACTTCATACAATATCATGCACACAAGTACAACATTATTAATATCAACAATATCAACAATTCACACAATATGTTACTTACTTTAGTTCTTCACCTGCACATGTCATTATCACAACAATCAAGTCATTACATTAACTCATATCCAATACCAGCTCATAACCTATTCTAGGCTAAGGCCAATTCCTCATTATCCACATTCTTATCTTAGGACTTGGAGCCACTACCTACGGCCATGACTCAAAGTCTATCTATGACATCAGAACCACTACCTACGGCCATGATTCCGGTCAACCCTGTACCTACGGCGCCGGTTGGGTGGAACCTCCAATCCTACGGATCAGATCTCAGATTCCATGTACGTACATCTTTACCCTAATGCCACTTGACTAAGTCCACGAGGCTCTACACCTATTATCATCTCACAATCTCAATTCTCACAAAATAGTCATAGAGTTCTTCTTGGTAACCTACGTCATTCACTTACTTAACTAATGAGATCCAAGCTAACAAGAACTTCAATTTACTTTATACGTACAAGGCATATCACATTATATCCACAATAAATCAAGAGAGTAGAAGTAGCTAAATAAATCACCATGCAATCCAAATAGCGGCCTAATGTCAGGTGTAAACACCTCACAATTACCGTCATGCAACACATAAAGTTTCAAAGTCAATTCGGGTTCCAAATTTGGTCAAACAATCAAACAACAAAGATCTGCAGCTGCCGGTACGGTACCCGTCACGGTACCTCGGTACCACCAGGCGGTACCTTGGTACCGTCGGTACAGTACCGTCCGACCGTCGCTCATAGGAACCGACAACAGCAGTGAACCAGAGGCGGTAGCTGGGTACCGTTTGGACGGTACCAGGCTACCGTTCGGCATCGAGAGTGTACAGATTCAGTAGATTTCTATCCTATTCCAAACCATTTGATACATATAACATTTTTAAAGGTTATAATCATGCAAACCACACAATTTAGAGTAAGAATACATACCTGGTCATCCTCGTTCAATCAATTCCAATATTATCATAAGATATAAATAAATCACAATTCAATTATAAACAAATAAACCACGTAATCAATCATACGAAACTACGAACGTGAATTTCAAATCTATATACATAATCTAGCGTTAGATGTGCAAGTTCTGACCTTGATTTATTGACGAATTAGACAAATTAGATAAACGGAGAAGATCACGAGACAGTGGAAGCGGTGTTGAGTGCGAGTTCCGGCGATCCCAGCGACGACGGTTCTGCCTCTCTGTTTTCCGGCGACAAAGCTACCGCAGCTCTGCTCGGCTTTCTTCCGTCGGCTCTGCTCTCTCTCTTCTCGTTTTGCACATTAGGTAATACTCCGTATATAAATAAAGGGTAGATGAGGGCTGGGAATTCCTTTCCATCGTGGGATTTGGGTAGGTTAGGTAACCTTATTTTTTAGGAGATTATTTATTTATTATTATTCTATTATAAAATCTTTCTATTTAATTATTGAACTGTAATGTCTATTTTACTCACCACGCTTTATACATAAGTCCAAATTTGACAAATTATATATCGTTGGCCACCATTTTACGAAATCTACCCGAAAACCCAATTTTTATTTAAAATGGACAACTTTACAAATAATTCATATTTTAGAGTAAATAAATATTATGTTTATTTTTATTAAAATAACGGCTAACTACTAAGCCGGTTTTCAGGTCGTTACATTTCTCCCCCCCTTAAAAGAATTTCGTCCTCAAAATTCCTTAGTCTGGCGTCTACTCAAACATTTGCACATGTAATTCACACCAATAAGCACGTAGGGCACATAACATTTTACTAATCATTATCAAGTTAAGTTTCGAAATGTACCATCGTAAGCGTCGTTATCCTGGGGGTCTGCGCGTCCTATCATAGCGTATGTGCGGGCTGGAGCCCTTCCAACTTGCTGATTCTCATTCCTTTGCTGGTTTGACCCAGCGGTCGTACGTTGGCTCTGTGCCGGTTGCTGCGTAGTGGTTTGGCTACGTACTGGCGCTGGTGGAAATGGTTCTCCTGGGTTTGTAGGACAGTTCTTACGAAAGTGTCCTGCCTCTCCGCAGCCTAAGCATAGTCCTTGGGTGAGCCAGCACTCACCACGATGTGATCTTCCGCATGTAGGGCACAGGGGAATCTTTGTCGGTCTTGTCTTGCAACTTGAGGCCAGAGAATGAGTCGGCACTGGCTGAGTATGGGTGGACTTGCCTTTCTTCGCTTGAGATACCTCACTCGTCTCTCCTACTGGTCTCTTTGCACTCGGTGTCGTAATCGCAGTGGGGTGCGTACTTGGTCCTGCCTCTTTGGCCTTCAGACTAGCCTTATAGTCGTCAACATCTTTTTCCACCTTAGCCATCAAATCGTATGCTTGAGAAAAGTCTGTAGTAGTCAGGATGGACACGTATGGTCGAATGTCGAGGCGCAGCCTCTTGCGAAATTCTTCAATATGGTCTGCCGGCGTGGATACCAGCGTAGTCGCGAACTGAGCTAGGTGATCGAACTTTTGTCGAAGCTCGGGGAGAGTCATGTCTCCTTGCTTCAGCTCCATCAACTCCGTGCGTTTCTCCTCTCCGAAGCGAGCTCGTATGTACTCCTTGAACGTCCAGTCAAAATACTCCCATGTCCAAGGCTTAGGCGCTTTCTCGTCAGCGCGTTTCCACCACTCGTATGCTCCCTTGCGAAGGAGCTGGAGCGCAAGCTCAGGACATCTTGCGTGCGGAACGTTCAAATTCTTTAGCACTCTTTCTGTCTGTTCAATCCAATCAAGTGCGACCTGGGGATCAGAGATCCTATCCCCATGTTTCGGAAATTCCATTTTTAGTCATCAAACTTCAATTAAACTTCAATTTCATGGTTTAAGATTCTTGGTTCTTCAAACATGTCGAACACAAAACTCAACCAAACGACCGTTTATGAATGTTGAAACGATCTATACGAACATTCTAGTCAATAGATATATCTACGGGCTTACCTCGGAGCTAAACGATGATTCCGGCGTTTGAACGATGAAACTTCCGGCGAACACCACGGCTTGCTCCGGCGACCTCGACGGAAATCAACAATAGCAGTCTACCCTCCTCACTCTCAGGATTCTAATGGGATAAATTTTAGAAAGAATGGCGCAGATTTGAATATTTTGAGTGTTCTTTATATAGAGTTTATGAAGGAGAAGAGAACATATGCTGCGTAGGATTTCCAATGCTGTGAATTCATTCGGCGATAGTGGGGGAGGAGGCGCCGTTCTCTGATTGGGACTAATTTTTGTCCCAGTCGGGGTACACTTTTTGGTCCAACATTCTTCGAATTGAATTTCGTTTGCACCGTTGCGATCAGATAGTTAAACTCTATCCAACAATATAACTTTTATATTTATTTGTACTACTTTTTCGGACACCATATTTTTGGGTGTTTGACTTTGACAGAGTCAAAATTTGTTTAATTGACCTTTCTCATAAAAGGTTCTCTTATTTAATTCATATCAATTATTCTCATGATTTATTTCAATTAATCATTACAAAGTTCACATCATAATTAATTTATTCATTTATTCTTGATTTGGGTCTGTACTTAGGTTCCCAATCAAGTCTACAAAAATAGTCCACATATTGGATTTATCTCTATGAGACTTATCCAGAATTTTATATTGGATGTCAAAACACATTTCATATCGGCACAAATCCCAACAATAATTTATTTTAATCAAAACATATTTGATTAATTGATTATTTATTCATTAATAATTCTAGGGTATATTGCAGGGCGTTACATTACTCGTGGTAGTATTGGCTATGATAGTGTTTGATTATTAGTCAGCTTCCTATGTCTATTTGCAGTAGATGTTGTGTTTTAGTTAGTCTCCATTTCTCTATACCTAGTTGTGTTAGGAGTCTTTTCTATATATATACTCTATCATGTAAGTCATAATTCAAGGATCAATATTATTATTCCAATTTTTCAACATGCATGGTATCGGAGCCACCGCTCTTGGTGACCTAAAAGAGTTCTTTGCTCCCACTGCTGCCATCGGTAATTCCGACGACGGCGGATCCACCCTACTCACCTGTATTTTCTTTTCCTTCTTTTATCCTCAAATCAACTTCTCCATTCAAATGGAAAAAAAAGAAAAGGAAAAAACCCCTGTTGAAATCACACACAAAAAAGACCATCAAAAGAGGAACTTCTCTCTTGTCATCTCCATGGTTCTTCAAAAAAACCAACTCCTCATAAACTCCCTCCACTCATCCTTGTATCTTCTCAAAATCATGAAAAAAATGATATTTGTTTCTCTACAATTCACTATCGAAGATTCTCAAACCTAGTTCTTTTCTTCATCAGCAGTTCTTAATCCCCCCTTTCCTCTCTCGAATCACCCAATCTAAACATCAATCTTTCTTCTCTTTCTCCTTTGTTAACCAATAAAATTCAAAAAAAAAACACAAAAGCCAAGCCAAGAGGGGAAATAGTGAAAGAGGAAAGAATACCTCCACACCCTTAATGAAAGAAATAAGGCATTGCCCGGATCCAAGAAAAAGACAAAGAATGTCAAAGATATTCAATCAAACAGGCACCTCCAGTAGCCTTCTCTATTCTTCTTCGACGTCAGCAGCTACAAGCGCACGTCAACATTCTCTCTTCTTATTCGACGTCAACGACTAACAGCGCACGTCACTTTCTCTCTTCTTCAATGATGTCTGCAGCTATAAGTGCAAGTTAGACTTCTCTCTTCTCCAACGACGTCAGCAGCCACCAGCGCACGTCAGACTTCTCTCTTCTCCAAGTTTTCTGTTTCCAGCTAGTGTCCAAGCTTCCTCTTGCTTCAGCCAGAGTTCAGCTTGAGGGGGAATGTTAGACAATATACTAATATTACTCCTGGTAGTATTAGCTATGATAGTGTTTGATAATTAATCAGCTTCCTATTTCTATTTGCAGTAGATGTTGCGTTTTAGTTAGTCTCCATTCTCTATTTCTAGTTGTGTTAGGAGTCTCTTCTATATATACTCTATCATGTAAGTCATAATTCAAGGATCAATATTATTATTCCAATATTTCAACACATATAAATATACAATCATATTCTCATATATTAATTTGTTATAAAATAATATTATAATTTCGAAATTCAATATATAATTAATATTATAAATATTTTATTATAGTCTTTTTTATCTAAAAAACATATATTAAAATGTCGAGAGAGTCCGATAGAAGGCCCGTGGATATGGGCGCCGTGAACCGAATTTTGAGGAGATGCAAAGCTAAAGCCACCTTTCACGGTTCGACCTCACGCGGTTCTCAAGGAAGACACTCTGTCTCTTACTTTCCTAGTATTCCCGATCAATTCGTGGGCGATGCTTTGACAGATCAAGAATTCGATCGTTACATGTCAGGTAGAGGCGACGCGAATCTTGAAACTCTTGAAAGTTTATTCGCGGACATTGATGAAGCAGGAATGGACGGGGACGTGGAGCCTACACCGCACGTCGACGAGGAGGCAGGTGAGCTCGAGACCTCTCAAGGTCCGGAAAAAGGTAAAAAAAATTAAAATAAGATTTATTTGTTTATCATTTTGAAAAAGAAACAAAAGCTGGCATAGTTTATGGAACTTGTAAGTATTGTGCCACCGTCATTAAAATGGGAGTTTCTGGCGATTATGGTGGTCCGAAAAAACACCTATGGTCGAGGCATCCCATGGAGTACGCCAAATATGCGGCGAAAAAGAAGGGACGACAAGAAGTGCAAACCCAAATTTCTCGGTTTGCTAACAGGGGTAAGGGTGGCCGACATGATTTGTGAAGAAAAACATGGATTTATTGATTATTGTCAACAAGCATTAAACCCTCAAGCAAGAGGTTTTTCAAGAAAAACAATTAAACGAGAAATTATTCGACAGTATACTTGAAAAAACAAATTTGGCAAATTTTTTCCTCAATTTTAATTCTCGTGTTACTATTTGTTCTGATATTTGGGGTGAAACATATCATAATTTGTCTTATATGGGTGTTACTTGTCATTGGATTGATAGTGATTTGATTATGCATAAACGTGTTCTTGCATTTCGTGATTTCAGTGATTCTCATACTGATGAAAATATTTTTCTATTGCTTCAGCGTATTCTGCGGGAATACAACTTAGTTGAAAAAGTGTTTGCATTTGGTTTTGATAATGCTACTAATAATACTGCTGCTATTCCTAAACTTAAAGAAATTTTCCCCCCTACTACGAGTATGGGTAGATTTCTGCATCAACGGTGTGCGTGTCATGTTTTAAATTTATGTTTTCAACAGGGATTAGAAGCTATGGGGGGGGGGGGGGTTGACGAATATTAAAATTGGAATTAGAAGGATTTTGGGGTAGTCGTCTTATTTCGAATTCCTGGAAGACATTCTGTAAGTTTAAGGGTAGAAGAACAATAATATTTGCCAAAGATATCAACATTAGATGGAATAGTACATACAAGTTGATAGCACAGATTCTAAGCTACAAAGAGGAACTTGCTGAATTTTTTAGGGGTGAACTTCTTTTAATGATTTGACCTATTGAATTTGTTATTGTTGAAAAATTGAATGCCGTATTAGAAGTTTTTAATAACGCAACTCTTACTTTTTCGCATGTTTACCAACTAACTACAAATACATTTTTTAAAGAGTGCGTTACAATCGCAACATGTTTTTGTGAAAGTTTGGCTGATCCAGATTTGTACCCTTATGTCTCTCCTATGAAAGATAAATGGTGTGCTTATTATTTGTACATTCTTGATATTTATAAAATAGGTATTATTTGTGATCCACGCTTTAAAATTGAAAATTAAAAAATTCTAATCGACTATTACTACAGTTGTTTTTAGATGAAAATAATTATTACTACAGCCATTTAATAGAATGGGAAAAAGAAAGAGATAATGCTATAACTCTTTTTGAGGCTTTATTTAAGGAATATCAAGGGTTATACTTTAATGTACCAGAAGAAACAGCACCTCCTCCGCCCCCAAGTCAAAAAAAAGGTTTTAAAGGAATAGTCGGTGGGCTTCTTGCAAAGAAAGGGAAGCGTGCTCAGCCTTCGACGAGTTCAAGTGGTACAACAGTAAGCTCGCACAACGAACTTGCTATGTACCAAGGGGTGCCATGCGGTTACGATGACGACGACGACGACGATGACGTGGAGTTTGACGTCCTCGGATGGTGGAAGCGGAACGAACACATGTTCCCATGTCTCGGAATGCTAGCAAGACAAGTGTTGTCCGTCGCAGTATCAACCGTAGCAGTGGAACAAGAATTCAGTGCTAGCGGCAACATTCTAACCGACTTCCGAAGTTTTCTTAGTGCTGAATATCTTGAAACACTTGTTTGCAACCGATCATTACATGAATGCAACCACATATGGAAGTCCGAGTTCTGAGGAATAAGTTATAAACTTTTTTATGTTAATGTAGATATGTAAATATGTAATTAGTTTTTTAGGTGAGCGATATATAAGCTCCTTCGAGGGTTTCTTTACGGTTCTTTACCTCGTCGCTTTTTTTGAACCGTCAAGATATTAAATGTAGTTGTTCTTCAGTTCGTGTATTACTCATTTTACAATATTTAAATAACAACTACATTTTTAGATTTTTTATGTCTTTCTTTCCTTTAACAATTGCAAATTTATAATTAAAAAAAGCAAAAAAAATATATTGGGGGTGGCCGAAACCGGCCGGTCCGGTACCGGAACCGCCGGTCCGAGTACCGCAACCGGTACCGCCTGGTCCGATCATGGTATCGGTACCAAGGGTTGGCGGTACCGGAACCGGAACAGTACCGTGTCCACCCCTACTCCGGCAATTTACAACAATTACTAAAATTAAGAATCATTTATTATTTGATTGAGGATTCATTTTGTACCCTATGCACTATAGAGGATATATACAATACATCCGGACGTACAGTTATTTTCGTACATCCACATGAATATTCATTTTTGAATAATAAAGTACTCATTCTCAAATAGCTGAATGCTCATTTTTTAGCATAATTGAGATCTAGAAAAACTAGTATACAATTATTCAAGAATGAGTATTTATTTGCTCGAAAATGAGTATTCAATTACTCGTAAATGAGTACTCACTGCGGATGTACGAGAAACATCGTATAACCGGTTCTACGATATATATTGCGGCACTATACCATGGTGTACACTAGGGGTGTTCAATCAGATCGATCCGATCCGATCCGATCCGAAAATTCAGATATCTGAAAATTTCGGATCATGCAAAACTCATTCCATATCCGTTCCGAAAATATTCGGATATCCGAAATTCGGATATCTGATTTTTCGGATCGGATCACTGGATTATCTGAAAAGTTGAGTTTTTAGCCAAAATTTACAAAAAAAGGTAAAATAGCAAAATCAACCCAAAATATCAAATTCAATATAGATTTACTAAAAGAAAAATTCCACCACTTGGTAATGGCCTAATAAAAAAATGATACCAAATTTAATTTGGGAGTAACTTTGGTAATTTTGCCTAAACAAGCAAAAAAAACACTATTAAAACAAAAAGTTCTAAAATGCTAATGCAAAATGTCCAAAATTGGTGATTTCCAAAATCAACATAAAATTACATTTAAACATATAGTCATAATATATATCCATAAAATTCCAAAACCATATAGCAAAAAAAAAATCGGATATCCGATTATCCGAAAAAATCCAGAAATTGAATCCATATCCGATCCAATTTTTTTCAGGTATCCGATCCGAAATATCCGCAAGCTAAAATATAGGATCGGATATCCATTTTTCAGATCGGATCGGCCCAGATCGTGTACGGATATTTGGGATCGGATATTTTTGAACACCCCTAGTGTACACTACAATCCCTTTTCATCCACCAAAATTGTAGTTACCTACAAGTTTTCTAGGTCGAAACTATGATCCAAAAATTGAAGCAAAAAGGAGAAGATTATACAGAACCAAACTAAGTCACCTTGTGAGCATTGTTATAATATTGAGAATTTTGTAATTTCCACACACCCAGCACAGTATATAAACTAGATAAACTCACACTTAACACAAACAGATGCTGTTGGAAATTGTGTAGTAGCTCAACTGCCAGACTTCATAGAATGCTACAACACCTTTTCTAACACCAGTTCAAACGCACACCAAGAGGAAATAAAGACACAGAGATTTGTTTACGCAGTTCGGAGCTAACTCTCCTACGTTTGCAAGGCCCACATTCGTGTAATAGCCTTTCCACTAGATCAACATAAGAATTACACAATCAATCTCAACAGATCCTTCTATTGAATAGATTTGTCTACTTACGTGATCAGACACCAAACTCTGTTTGTGTGACTCCAGGCTTATTACACCTTCCCGTTGCTCAGCCTCCCACGATTCACCAGCTGAACAAACCTTAAAGAAGACCCATGGCTGATCTTCTCGTTACGACCTCACGTATGTGTATATAATGGGCTCTGTTCTCTCACTCTTCTTTGTGATATATGAATGGAAAAATGCAGAGTTTCTTCTCTCTTGTTGGCACATGATCACTCTATTTTCGCACACCTATCTCCGCCTGTGAGATGCCTTATTTATACACAGTCTTCCATAGGGTGTAACCCTAACCATCTACCTCTAGAAGTCCTTCAAAAGCATGCTTAAATCAACAAAGTCCTGGGCCAGTAGAAGTCCTTGACCAGGCAGAGACTTAAAGGGAAAGAAGTCCTGCACTGAGCTGACGTTTGAGAGATACCACGCAATACCACCCATCGTCCTTCGTAGCATCCTAGTTACAGCAGGCTATCGTGTATGATGACTAGTTCTACTTATATAAGCACACTAAACCTATTCTATGTTAGTGGTTGTGTGTTGTCAAAAATAATGCCAACTCATAGGACACATACTATAAAACTAACAACAATCTCCCCCTTTGGCAATTTTTGACAAACACAATCACCTGACACTCAGCCGGTTCTGAACCTCTTCTCCCCCTTTTGGAAAAAAATGCCAAAGGCACAATAATTTATTAAAACTAGAGAAGAGTAACATTCAAATAACTGGGTGCAAGATTGTGTTCAACAGATTAAACAAGGGATAAAGTGGGCATCCTACTTGTGCATTTGCCAGAGTATGCAAGGAGACCAGGAAAGTGTGAAGATCAACGAGAAGAGATCATTCTGTAAAGGGTATTCATAGGTTTCTTCAGCTCAAAACAATCCATAGCATAAAGATCTTGTACAAAACCATGCAAAGTCAGCAAGATAAGAGTAATAGAATCCATCTTTAGAAAAATCCAGAGCATAACATCAGGGACAGAAAAATCCCAAAAACTTAGAGTTTTTCAAATAAAATTAGAGTTTTTTTCAACCAGAGGAATTTAGTATGATGCATCAGCTTCATCAAACTTATGCAGCTCTGCTTCAAAGTCAGACTCTTCCTCTCTTGAGCTTGTCTCTTCATCCTGATTCTATTCATCATCTGCATTCTCCCCCTGAGTTGTATTATCTTCTGGCACACATTGGTTGGACTTCTCCTCCTGAGCTTGTACCCTTACACCTTGAGTGGCATCCAGTGAGGAAAGGATAATGGCCCATTTATTCTTTTTGACTTTAGCTTCCTTGATCATCTCCCAGTGCTTGTAAATTTTCTCTTGCAGCAGTTTTATTTCATCCCTGATGAATGCTGTTTGAGAGAAATCTGACTGAAGAAATGCTGGGGCTGCCTTTGGATCCTCAACTGTCACCATGTAATTGTAATGTTTTCCTTCAAAGTGCCTCAAGTCAACTTGTAGTAGTGGAGGGGCAGGTTCTTCTTCATCTGTGACTTCAAGTCGTTGTGACTTAAGCATTTGAAAAATAAGAAGAGGATAAGGAAGGCCATTTGTGTTCTGTTTAGCTCTCTTAGATGCAAAGCTCATTATCTGATAAAAAATGATTTTCCCCAAGTTGAATGGTATCTCATGCTTGATTTTGTAGATGAGTGTAGCCATGCAGAGTGGAACTGTGTTCATGTGTGTAGTGGGGAGCTAGTGATAAGCAGCAACTCTAAACAGAATGGCATAAGAGCTTTTAAGGATGGAGGAGTGAACTTTTGACATGGAATATTGGGAGATACGCTCACCATGGGTGAGGTCAGTCCAGACTTGTCGTTCATTAACATTCTTTTCAGAGGAAGGGGGTTTTGTTTTCAGGAATTGGTTAATTTTGGCAAGAGACAAGTCAAAGAATTTTCCTCTCACGAAGACTTTATGGAAAGAGGGGTCAGAGGGTGTGTTACAGCTCTCAGACAGATTGCAGTAAAACTCTTGGATGACTTTCCTAACATAGGATCCAGGCAGTGTGATGGATTTGAGAAAATTACATTTTTTCAGGATAGAGATTAAATTTGTTTGAGCTTCAAAATCCTCAACATAAATGCTTCTTTGTGGCAGAATAGTTTTCTTGGCAATTTCAGACATGTATGAACTAGCAATTGATGAAGTAAAGAGTTGTATTGAAAACTTTCTTGGTTTGGATGATGATGCAACAGTGCTGTCTCTCTTCTTGCGGATTTGTCCCTTGATTGAAGATGTTTCTATGACATGTGACCCCTTTTTTCTTTTTGTGATTTCTCCTTCACTGATTCCTATTTTTGCTTTTCTCTTTAATCCCTTTCTTGGTGTGGCTGCCTGGCTTCAAATTCTTCTGGACTTCCGGTTTCTTGTTCTTATTTTGCTCTGCTTTGACGCAGAGACCATCTGCTTCATGTTGCATTAGCCTTTGGTTTCTTGGATCTTGGAGTTGTGAGTGTTGGCTCCTTGAATGGCGCATCTGAGCATGCAAGCAGGGGTTCTTCATCCACAATTTTTGGAATCTTCTCCTCTTGCACTGGATCTTGCTCAACTTCTCTTTGCATGTTCTTTTCTTGATGAGCGGGTGTATACTCTAGGTAGAGTGTATCTGGAATCTTGGCTAAAGGATGTAGGAGAACATCATCTTCTATGACATCTCTGACTTTGGCTTCCTCAGATCTTGAATTGGTTTGCTCCTTCTCAGATTCTTCTGAATTAAGTTTTGATAGGCTTTCTCCTTCGTCTTCAACCTTCTTTGTTTCAGAATTGGTGCTGACTTGCTGTGAGTTCTTCGTCGTTAGTAGACGAGTCCAGCTGTGCTTCGCCCATAATTGTTTTTTGAGCGCGGATTTTCCACTCTAGCGATTTGGAAGTACAAGCTTCGTTCTAACCATTTTTCTTATCAGATCTGGTTGATTTGGGAGATGACCAAATTTTGAAATTAGGGCTTTTGAGTGACCTTTAATCTTGGTAATGGTAAGCAGGCGCTTCTGTTTACGAGATGAGGCTGGGGACGCTTCAAAAGTATCGAGCGTTCATTAGTGTCTCATTAAAGGAATGACGGCTTGTGCTTGTACCATTTTTCAAATTCAGCAGATTTAAAAAATTGAGCACATTAGCTGACAATTTATGCCCAATTAAGTTTATTTGCATGTTTTATTGAAACGGTGCACACAGACCCAAATTGGATCTGAGGGTCTCAAATCTTTCTTTGTGAAGTGCTTTTGTAATTATATCAGCTAACTGATGCTTAGTAGGAATGTATTCAAGAGTAACAATTTTTCCTTCAACTAGCTCACGTATAAAGTGATGTTTGATATCAATGTGATTTGTGCGTGAGTGTAGCACTGGGTTTTTTGATATATTTATGGCACTTATGTTGTCGTAGTAAAGGGGAATAGTGTCATGTTGGACTCAATAATCTGTTAGCATTGACTTCATCCACAGAAGTTGTGCACAACAACTCCCGGCGGCAATGTATTCAGCTTCTGCAGTAGATAGTGGGACAGAGTTTTGTTTTTTTGCTAAACCATGCTACCAAATTGCCTGCTAAATAGAAGCATCCTCCTGAAGTGCTTTTGCGATCGTCAATGTTCCCTGCCCATTCTGCATCACTATATGCCATAAGATGTGCTGGAGCACCTTATTAGAATAAAGGACCAACACTAGGGGGGGGGGCGAATAGCGTTTGATCGTAAAAATCACAGGAATTAAAAAAATTAAAGGAGAAGAAAAGAGAAGAGTAAGAGGCACACCGAATTTACCCTGGTTCACCACAACTTGTGGCTAATCCAGCCTCCCGGGAGACTCTCTCGAGCTACACTACTTCCATTAAGCTTACAGGTGCTTAACAAACCGTTACAACCTGAGAACTCGAGTCCCACGAGCCTCAACAACACTTGCTCGGAGATACCGCACTCCAAGACTTCAACCCAAAGGAAAATACCTTTCCTTCGTACAACCAAGGGAAACAAGCTTCCCTTAACGTGTATACAACACTAAGACACTCAAGAACAAGACTCTCCTTAAGAGTGGATATTTAGTAAAATATATACGCTCAAGAACAACTCAAACTTCACACGAATTGGCTCTAAGAAGCTATGAAAAATGATGTTGTTTGAATGCAATGATAGTATGAATATTGAAGTGAATTGATGAGAAAAGCAGACCCAAACACCCCTTTTTATAGTGCCAAAATAGGCTCCAACGGAACAATACATTAAAGAGGTGATTGGCTTGATTTATGGGATTGAATAAATTGTGGATCTGCAGGATATTGGCTTCCCAGCGATGTATGGACTTTACCCATCGCTGGTAGGCCAATTTTCCTTCAGTTTTGAAGCCAACGGTCACCTACCCATCGATGGGTACATGCTTCGCATCGCTGGGTGGGAGGTTGACTTCCAAACAAGGAAAGAATCAACCTTAAATGACTTCCAACGGTCATGCCTTCCCAGCGCTGGTTAAGCCTTCCTATCGCTGGGTTTCCATCGATGGGTGAAAGTCCCCATCGCTCGGTAAGGTCGTTCTGCCTTGTGTTGATGTTGGACCAAGGCTTTAACAGCGATGGGTAGAACATCCCATCATTGTTTGGCATGGTTCTGGAACTTGGTTGGGCTAACAGACCGCTTACCCATCGATGGCTAGTTCCTCCCATCGCTGGGTGGATGGTTAGTCAAAAACCCATGGTTTTTGACTTAACCACGGCCTAGCCAACCAATGCAAAAACGGACCGAAAAATCTAAAGTTCTCCAAAATAAAAACCAAGTGTTTAAAACACTTATTTGATGTATTTGGCTAAGAATTCAAGTGAGACACTTTAAAAACCACGTCGTTTGGGTAAAAACCACGGCTAGTCAAGTTTATGCCATTTTGCGTGGTTTTTGCCAAACGACCAAAAACGAAAGGTGGTTTTCAAGGTGTTTTTGTTGGAGAACTGTTTAAACATTCCAAAGAGTAAAAAACAATAATAAAATGTTGAAAACCATTTGGTTGGTTCAGACGCCAAAAACCAACACCGAAAACCGAATGCCGAACGCCGGTTTCTGAAAGCCGAACGCCGGATGGTTTGGTTTTTGGTTTGGGCGAACACCAAGTGTCTTTAATGTCTTAAAAAAGTTTGAAAAACATTTTTATGATATTATAAATGCAAAAATAGATTTTAGTCTAAAGAGCCAAGGCGTGAGGTTTGGGTCGGTCTTGATCACAATTGTGACCGACTCAACAACACTAAGACTACGGTCTTCGTTCTTGGTCTTCTTTTAGCTCTTGTTCTTATATTCGTTCTTTGCCTTGTATGTTCAATGTTTTATCTTGTTCACAGCGGTTTGGCATTATCAAAACCTGTCATAAAAACGAACACGGCTTTAGTACGAAAACGTGACAAACCCGTGTTTCAACAATTTCCCCCTTTTTGATAATGACAAACAAGACGAGGTTATGCATAGGAGGGTTGTTTTGAGACTTTGAAAAATGTTCCCCCTTAATAAATGCAATTTTATTTTCAACAAAGTATTTGTGATGAATAAGAGTTTAAAAGAAAATTCCCCCTCAATTTATGCATAACCTTTTTATCCTTTAGAATACTAGAGACCTATGTTATGTGTGTCCTTAATATATTTCAGTATTCTTTTTACTGCCTTCATATGTGATTCTTTAGGCTTAGCTTGATATCTTGCACATAGACCCACACTGTAACATATATCAGGTCTGCTGGCAGTGAGATACAGCAAACTTCCAATGATCCCTCTATAGTAGGTTGCATCGATATCTTTTCCACTATCATCCCTATTCATTTTTTCATGTGTTGGACATGGTGTTCTGGCACTTTTACAGTCACTCATATCAAATTTCTTTAACATATTCTGCGCATATTTATTTTGGGAAATGAAAATTCCATCATTAGTTTGCTTGATTTGGAGCCCCAGAAAGTAGGTCAGTTCCCCAATCATGCTCATTTCGAATTCTTTTTCCATGACTTCCACAAATTTTCCAACATGGATTTCTGAGGTTGAACCAAAAAGTATGTCATCAACATAGATTTGAGCTACCAGTATGCCATCTCCGTACCTGATGTAGAACATAGTGTTGTCCACTCCTCCCCTGGTGTATCTTTGTTTGGCTAAATATGCTGTCAATCTGTCATACCAGGCTCGTGGAGCCTGTTTCAGGCCATAGAGTTCCTTGCGAAGTTTTTATACATGTGTTGGATGTGTTATATCTTCGAATCCCTTGGGTTGGGATACATATACATCCTCTTTGAGATATCCATTTAGGAAGGCCGTCTTCACATCCATCTGATATAGTTTCATGTTCTAGACGCATGCCATACTGATGAGTATTCGGATTGATTCAACTCTTGCGACAGGTGCAAAAGTCTCTTCAAAGTCAACTCCTTCAACCTGTGTATATCCCTTTGCCACTAGCGTGGCTCTGTTCCTGATCACTTTTCCTTCTTCGTTAGTTTTGTTGTGGAATATCCACTTTGTGCCAATGATGTTCACACCTTCAGGTTTTGGAACGAGTTCCCATACCTGATTTCGTTCAAACTGTGCCAGCTCTTCTTGCATTGCGTTTATCCATGCTTTGTCAGTCAAGGCCTCCTTGACATTTTTTGGTTCGACTGATGATGTGTAGAAGGCATTTACCATCTCAACATAGTTAATCTTCTTTTTCCTGGTACGCATGCCTTCATGTGGATTTCTAATTACATTTTCAATAGGGTGATTCTTCTGAATATGTGTGGGCACTCGAACTTCTTGTGGTTGGCTTATCTGTGGTTCTGCATCAGTTTGTTCTTCTGTGTTGGATAGTGTTGAATTTTCTTCAGTTTGTTGAGCAGCAGGTGGTTCATCATCTCTTGTGTCACTATGATCTTTCCATAGTGCTCTGTCATCCACAATAACATTGGTGGATTCCATGATTGTTCTGGTGCATTTGTTGAATACTCTGAATGCCTTGTTGTTTGGTGAGTATCCCACAAATATAGCTTCATCACTTTTTGCATCAAATTTACTTCTGTGCTCTTGATCTCGAAGAATGAAGCATTTTTCTCCAAAAATGTGGAAGTTTCCCACGTTTGGAGTTTGTCCTTTCCATAATTCATACAGTGTTGCTCGAGTCCCATTTCTTATATACACACGGTTTATTGTGTAGCAAGTTGTGTGTACTGCTTCGGCCCAAAGACTCTCAGGTAGTTGTTGAGTATGAAGCATGGTTCTTGCCATTTCTTGTACATGTCTGTTTTTCCTTTCTGCTACCCCATTTTGTTGTGGGGTTTTTGATGCTGAGAATTCGTGAGATATTCCTTGTTTATCACAGTAGCTGCTGAAAGGTTGACTATCAAACTCCCCTCCGTGATCACTTCTTACTCGTATGACTTTCTTTATCTTTGACAGTTTCTCATTTTGAACTTTGTTACAGAGTGTAGCAAAGGCATATAGTGCGTCATCCTTATGTCTCGGAAAACATACCCATGTATATCTTGTAAAGTCATCAACCACCATGAGTACGAATCTCTTGCCTCCCATGCTCTCTGTTTTCATAGGTCCAAACAGATCTATATGCAGCAGCTCCAATGTAGATTGAAAAACCTTGACTGGATGAGTTTTTCGTATTTGTTTTCCCTTTTGGCAAGGCCTGCATACTTTTGTTTCCTTTTTGATGATTTTTGGTAACCCCCTCACTGCTCCTGAATTTTACTGTGTTACCAGATCTTTGTAGTTTAGATGCCCCAGGCGATAGTGCCACAGCTTTGCATGTTTTTCACTTGCTGAGAAACATAGTACGTTTGGTGTTACTTTGTAACAATTGTCTGCTGTTATGTCACCTTCAAGCACCACATGTTTACTTTTGTCTCTCACTCTGCACTTTTGTTGTGTAAAAATACTAAGTCCTTGATCGCATATCTGGCTTATGCTAAGTAGATTAACTTGTAAACCTTGAACAAACCACACGTTTTTAATAGGTGGTAGTCCTGTTACATTGAGTGTGCCACTGCTGACTATTTTGCCCTTTGCTCCACCACCAAATCAAACACTCCCTTGTTCATTTGCCTTAATATCCATGAGATTCTCTTTGTCACCAGTCATATGATGCGAACATCCGCTGTCAAGGAGCCATTGATCTGGAGTGACTCTGTAGCAGGTGTTAGCAACCGAGGCATATTGTTTTGGTATCCAGATTTGTTTGTACCTTATTTTTGCTTTGATCAGTTTACTCCATCTTCTGGCGCACATGCTCTGTATATGCCCCAACTTATTACATATGTAGCATCTGTAATACAACAACAACAACAACAACTTAGTTGAATCCCACTACAGTAGGGTCTGGGGAGGGTGTGTGTACTCAGACCATGCCCCTACTCCGAAGTAGGGAGGCTGTTTCCAAGAGACCCCCAGCTCCAACTACACAAAAAATTTGATAAGAATCACAGTATAACACAGATAAAGCACCAAGTACAATGGAATGAAAGTCCTGCAAGCAATAGCAAAAATTTCCAACCAAACAAAACACACTACAAAAAACCCTTGAAGCACCTATCTAGCTACTCTAATCCTAGTTCTCTAAAGGTTCCTATCTAAAGCCATATCCTCAGTCTGGGTGAGAAGTCCTAAATCCTACCTAATCACCTCCTTCCAATTCTTCCTAGGTCTACCCCTTCCTCTACTTCCCCCGACAACTGTAATCCTCTCACATCTCTGTACAGGGGCGTCAGCATTTCGCCACCTCACATGACCATACCATCTGTACCTCGCTTCCCGAAACTTATCTTCCATAGGCTCCATGCCTAACTGACGTCGTATAACTTCGTTTGAAATCCTATCCAACCTTTTCTTCCCACACATCCATCGTAACATCCGCATCTCCGCCGCATGCAGACGACGCACATGATTCTTCTTAACCGCCTAACACTCTGCCTCATATAACATAGCAGGTCTGACTACGAACCGGTATAACTTACCTTTCAGCCTGGGCGAAATCTTTGGATCACACAACACCCTTGAATCCAACCGCCATTTGGCCCAAGCCACTCCAACACGATGTCCAACATCCCCGTCTAACTCCCCATCAGCCTGAATTACCGAGCCAAGATATCGAAACTTGTCAACCTTAGGCACTAGGTTAGAGTCAATCCTAACTTCCACTTGTGATTCCGTTTCCCGACCGCTGAAACGACATTCCATGTATTCTGTCTTGTTCGTACTTATTCTGAATCCTTTGGTCTCAAGGGCAAGGCGCCATAGTTCCAACTTATCGTTTAGTCCCTCACGCGTGTCGTCGATAAGCACAATATCATCCGCAAAAAGCATGCACCATGGGACCCCTTCTTGAACACCTTGTATCAGGACGTCCATCACCAAGGCAAACAAAAAAGGGCTAAGGGAAGACCCCTAGTGTAACCCCATCCCTACCGAGAATGACTCAGAGTCGCCCCTGGAGGACCTTACCCTAGTCCTAACCCCACCATATGAAAGGTAACCATGCAAGGATAGGCAGCAAAATATAAAAATTTTAACATCCTAACATGATTGTCTTGCCCAGAATCACATACTAAGACTTATAGTAGTAAGAAATTTATACCTTTCTCTATAAGCAAAAAATGAAGAAGTCATAGGAAGAGCTTTGAAAGTGCAAACGTAACCGTTCAAGCGTCCGGTCTCCAACTTTGACACAAGTCTACCACCATCTTTATGCTAGTAAAGATTATACTAGTATAAAATATAAAGATTAAAACTAGGATAATAATAATCTCATATATTTCTATAGAAAATATTTCTAATAATATTTAAAATATTATAGATATTTTTTATACACAAAATGATATTAATGGAATCCCAAATAATCACTTTCTCTCTCTATAAATGAAGTGGCCGAAAATTCCTTAAGCCAAATTAATGAATGTGTACTCTTTTATTCAAGTTAGAAAGTGGGTATAATAATGGACTTTTATTATACATAAAATGACAAATTAACAAATCAATTACAAATCACTAATTTATCAATCAAGTAATACAATACCAAATTCTCAACCTTGAAATCCATATGGCCGAAACATGATTGTGAGAAGGATTTGTTAAATTCTTCTCCACTCAAATGTTCAAAGTGTATTTTATTTCACACCAAAAATTAATATAAAATTAATTTTAAATCCAATAAAATTACCAATATCATTTTAAACAAGTATACAAATATACTTTAAATAGTTTATGTCAAAATAATTATTTTTCATAATTAAAATTAAAACCAAAATAAAACATTCAATATATATATATATATATATATATATATCTGTGTGTGTGTCTATATATATATATATATATATATATATATATATATATATATATATATATATATATATATATTAATCGGCACATATACAAATTATGATATTTTACTATTTTACTATTTTACAAATATACAAATTACTTATTATCCCATTGTTTAATCCTACTCCTTAAATTGTCCAAAGTGTGTGACCCGTATAGGCACTTATAAAGCTGGCCACAGTATTTGGCTCTGCACCAATACTACAAACAATAAGCGGTATCTAGCAACACATTATTGCCCCTAGATTATAAGTTAAGACGTTTGCACCGTCAAAACTTTTCCACGACTCACCCTCCGTGTAACTATATCCCTTTGTCTCAATGTCTAAACTTAATGCAAGGGATTAATAAAATCCAGCTTGTATCCATTAAGTCATTCACTGATTTATCAAATTTGACTCATAGGAACAGACGTCATAAAAATGTCTCAGCATGGCCATGCAATTTCCTTAGTCCTAACTTATTACTGGGCCCCATAAGACATTAATCTCTTTAAAAAGAGTAGTGACAAAGCCTATGTACGTAATCTACGTTTTTGAATACGCGCTGCGGCATACCCAAAACAAAGCCTGTATACCATCCTTATTTCATATGGCTTAGGACAATGCATCAAAGCATGCGGGTTCACATATGCAGAAAGCGTAATACTTCAAGTCGAAGGATAGTTACACCCGTGGTCGTGTTAAAGATGCTTAGAGCATGAACTAAAAGTTCAAGCAACATCTTTAGAATGGGTCAATCCAACATCCTATTATCTACTGATAATATCTACCCATGTGCGGATGCGAACACACCGTCATTGACTATGAGACTTAGTCAAACATCCAACACAGACTAGTCTCACATGCATTAACGATATCCTACTCTCGTTAATACTCGACTATGGACATTCAGATAAATATTTATTTCAAGATGTTTGTCTCATCAGCAGAAAAACACTATCTGATAAACATCTTTTAAATATAAATCTTGGAATATAATATTTTTTTAAATTAGCATGAGATGTGTAAACATATTATATTTGCCTTTACATGCTAGAATAATGATAAACAGTTGGCCATCAGGGCATAATATTTTTTACATTAGCATGAGATGTGTAAACATATTATATCTGCATCGGTCGAATGCCCATGGACCTAGTGTGACCCTCATGCTTTAGCTTTCCTAAAGGCTTGGTCAAGGGATTGGATATGTTGTCGTCAGTATCTACTTTGCAAATCATCACATCTCCTCTATATACGATTTCTCGTATGATTTGATAGCCTTGTACAATGTCTTTGGTTTTCTGGTGAGATCGCGGTTCCTTTGCCTGTGCAATGGTCCTAGTGTTGTCGAAAAACAACAAGATAGGGTCATTAATACTAGGAACCACTCCAAGTTCAGTAATGAACTTCTTGATCCAAACAACTTCTTTAGCTGCCTCGGCTGTAGCTATGTACTCAGCCTCTGTAGTCGAATCAGCGGTTGTATCCTCCTTGAAGCTCTTCCAGCTAAAAGCTCCGCCATTCAGGCAAAACAAATATCCTGCTTGTGATTTTGAATCGTCTCTGTCGGTTTGGAAGCTAGCATCAGTGTAACTGACAACCTTTATCTCTTCCTCACCACCGTATACCAGGAATGCATCCTTAGTATTGCGAAGATACTTGAGGATGTTCTTGACCGCTGTCCAGTGTGCTTCCCCGAGACTTCACAAGTATTTGCTGGTCACGCTTTAAGCGAATGAGACATCAGGTCTAGTACATATCATGGCGTACATAATGGATCTAATCGCAGAGGCGTATGGAACCTTCATCATGAGTTCCTTCTGCTTGGGAGTAGAAGGACTCTGGCTCTTGGAAAGAACCGTGCCAGGTGTCATAGCTAAAGATCCTTTCTTTGAGTTAGACATGCTAAATCGATCAAGGATTTTATTTATATAAGTACTTTGATTCAGACCTATTAACTTTCTTGATCTATCTCGGTAGATTTTTATGCCAAGGACATAACTAGAATCCCCTAAGTCTTTCATGCAGAAGTTCTCGCTCAACCACGTCTTTACAGAAGTGAGAGCGGGAATATCGTTACCCATTAATAATATGTCATCGTCATATAAGATTAGGAATACTATTACACTCCCATTGACCTTCTTGCATACATAAGATTCGCCAGAGTTCTTCTCGAAACCATAGAAATGGTTTCATCGAAGTGTATTTACCAACTCTGAGATGCTTGTTTCAATCCGTAGATTGAACGTTTCAGCTTACAAACTTTGGCAGACAGGCCAGCAATTTGAAAACCATCGGGCTGTGTCATGAATACATCCTCCTTGAGATTCCCGTTAAGGAATGCCGTCTTGACGTCCATCTGCCAAATTTCGTAATCGTAATAGCCTGCAATCGCAAGCATTATCCGAATGGATTTAAGCATAACAACTGGAGAAAAGGTTTCATCATAGTCAATTCCATGGATTTGTCTATAACCTTTTGCTACTAATATAACTTTGAAGGCATGAACCCTTCCGTCTACGTCTGTCTTCTTTTTGAAGCCCCACTTGCATCCAATGGGTTTTACCCCTTCGGGCGCATCAACCAAGGTCCAGAAATAGTTTGTGTACATAGACTCCATTTCAGATTTCATGGCTTCGAGCCATAGATTGGATTCGGGGCATGTAATTGCCTCGAAATAGGTCTCTGGTTCGCCTTGATCTACCAATAAGACGTCACCTTCATCAGACCTGAGAAATCCATACCTGACCGGAGGATTACGTATCCGGTCTGACCTACGCGGTATATCTTGAGCAATTTGAGGTTCAATTGCTTGATCTTTGTGCACAGGTTCCAACACTATCGGGACTTCTTCTTATGGTTCTCGAATTTCTTCGAGGTCTACCTTTTTCCCACTAGTGATAGCAGAGAGAAACTCCTTCTCAAGGAAGGTTCCATTCCGAGCAACAAAGATTTTGTTATTGGATGGATGATAGAACTCATACCCTCTAGTTTCCTTGGGGTATCCCACAAAAATTACTTTATCATATTTAGGATCCAACTTACTAGACGTCATGAGACGTTTTACATAAGCTTCACAGCCCCAAATCTTAAAGTACGAAAAACTCGGTTTTCTCCCATGCCATAGTTCGTATGGTGTGCTCTCGACAGATTTAGATGGAAATCTGTTGAGTGTGTGTGCTGCTTTTTTCAATGCATATCCCCAAATTGATTCTGGCAATGTTGTTGTAACACCCCGATTCGCATAACCCGGTTCACGCGAGTTTGCGGACCAGAGCGCTAGCAATTTGGTAAAGTAACATTCCATAACTTTTTAATAAGTAATGCTAACAGAAATTTAGAAACATTTAAAACATAATTTTATCAAAATATGATAAAATATTTTTCGGAGTAACTTAATTTAATCATTGCGGAAGCTAAATAAGATTCAACATATTTACATATATGGGTCCAAGCCCAAAATACTTTAAATTATTAAAACAGTCCCCGCATCCCTCTGCCAACTCTCCCGCCTCAACATCTTCCGGATGGACGCCATAGCTTATTACCTACGCACAGTCACACAACAAAGATAACTGTGCGCTCAGCGAAACCGCTGAGTGGTACCACAACGTAGATTTCATAGAATAATTCATAAAGCACATTCACATATATACGAGAATCAATTCCCTTTTTAAACCCTTTTTATTTTAGAAAATCCACTCAACTTCTTTTTGTGAAACCTTTAATTATAGAAATCTAACATTCTTCATTTTATGACAAGGTGTAAGAACATCTCTTCATATAATAATACGAATCCAAAGCACTCATTAAAAATAAGGGTATTATTTCCAAATACACTTTATTCCTCAGCTGACAAACCATTATTTTTCCATCATTTCATATAGAAACAAATCCATATCTAATAATAAACCATCATCCTTAATTTTACCAATCACTATACAATAATAGTGACATCCCTTATTTTCAACCAGTATTATTTTATCCTCACGCCATACTGAGTCGTTCTCCGTAGAGGTAGGCTCGATAAGACTTCCCCTGTCTGAGTCTGGGTCCGAGCGCCCTTCTCTTCAGGTTCAGAATTTGTTCCGTGGCCTTTCCCAGTCTGAGTATAAATACTCTTCTCGTTCCGGACACACGGGTTGAGTGATCCCCGGGCGCCTGACCGGTTCTAGGAATTTGAGTATATAAAGTTTTACCATAAAGTCTCCAACACAATATCATCCAAAATATCTCTTTTAATCACTATATATCATTTATTCATGTTCATGGATTGGATCATGTGAGGAACTCAAGTTTAACCCACATAATATAGTATTATAATTCTTTTAGTCTAACCCGTCCAATGATATCGTTTGATTAATAACACATCTTGGAAAATATGATTTGACATACTCAATTTTGGTATTAGAGTCCTTATAGTCCAAAACATTCATTTTAAATACTTTTGGAAGTTATAATATGTTTATAAGTGAATCAAACAAATACCAATCATTTATCATCCATTTTAAGTATTTTTGGAAGTTACAATTTGAGTTGGAACGTCGGGTGATCGATCCTCGAAGGAGTGATCAAATCAATTCTTGGCATTAGAGTTCTTTTAGTAAAAAAACATCCATTTTTAGTGTTTTTGGAAGTTAAATTATGGTTATAAACCAATCAAACAAATACCAAAGATTTATTATCCATATGACATCGAAAAACGGTTCAAATCCGAGTTGGAACGTCGGGTGATCAATATCCGAAGGGGTGATCGATCCCCCGACTCTTAAAAATCTACGTTTTAGTAAAATTTACCCTAGAGGATCGATCCCGAGGCTTGGATCCACTGACGGTTCCTATGCGTTTTTGGGTTCATTTTAAGCTACGAAATGGTTCCAAAAGTGTATATATTGAATATATATACTCTACTTTGAATCTCTAAGTTGTGTAGGAATATTTTAGGCACAATTTTTGGAATTCTCCGTCATCAACGATTCATGGGTATCAAATTGAGCGTTTTATCGAGACTATCGATATGACTAACATAAAATGACATGTAGATATATGAAATCATGTATTATGAATAATTCTAAGGAATCTAACGTCGGAACGAGTCTGGGATACAGACCTTAGTGTTCGTAGGGGAACACAATGATCTTAACACTTCACATACGTTCAACGAACGGACGTCACTATCTACTTCTAGCTTTCCTTGTCTTGAGGTCTTCTCTTCGAACCTTGATATCGCGGAGTTTTATGGCGTAAGGAGAGGATTAAAATGAGTATAATAACGATAGGATGGAACATAACAACTTACCTAGAGTTTTCTTCCCAAAACTCCATTAATGGTGAAAAAAGCTTAGAGAAGAAAGAGTAGAACTTGTAGGGATTTCTTAAGTCTCAACATGTGATGAATGAAGGACACTTCTATTCCATTATATTGGGAAGTGCAGGAGAGTGGAGGTTAATGCATCACAATCACAACCACCCAATCACTTCAACCATGTCTAGCCAAATGAGAGAGGTGGAGTGATTGTCAATGTTGGCTACCCACTAAACAAGAAGATGTGATGATGGGAAGGAGGTAATGGTGGGGAAGAGGTTAGGGAATCCTGGGAATTATTTGGGAGAGTGAATATGGGATTAAATCCCTGTTCTAGAAGAAATAGTTAATCTATTTGAATTTCGGGTTATTTTCCAAACGGAGTCCGATATCGAAACCAATAACACTTTTGAACTTGGAAAAATAAATGGAACTCAAATACGTAATAAAAATATTTTTCCTAATATTTTTATTTTTCAGGCCATCGGGGCCCACACGGTCAAAATCGGTGGTTTACGTAGTTAATTCTTCTAGACCAATTTTCGTGGCGTTACAACTCTCTCCCTCTTAATAAAATTTCGTCCTCGAAATTTAAGTAAGGAAATAAATCCTACAACGATGTCCGATCGTATTTCACATTATGATGAGATTTGATTACCCGAGTCGTTTTCTCGTTTATGAAATATGTTTTGAGCGGATGGAAAATTTAATTCGGGATGATAAGATTTACGAAAGGTGTATTCGATGATATCAAGTACTTCTCATTCTAACCCATTCATGTGTAACTATTAGTAACACCAGTTTACCCAAAAATCCAATGCTCTGTGGTTTTCGAGTGGCAAAACCATTCGTTGGTAATCCTTGTACAGGATCCAATGTTACCCATAACACATCCGAATCGAATGTAACCTTTATTTATAACAAAAAATAGGGAAGAAACACTTTATATATTTATCCATTTAATTTATTCATGTCCATATGGTAACAGAATCAAACACTCTTATTTTTCCGGGTCTGCAGCCCCTTCTAAACAAGGTTGTTAGTTCTGTTCCCAGTAAGTCACTTTATTAACAAAACATTTGTAGAATTCTGATATTAATCATGTTAATCTTTCCTTTTCGTTAATTGTTTCAAAAGTCATGTTTGAACAAGACCTTCAGTGTACTTTTTAGGATAAATGTTGAATATTAAATAACTCTTCTCCTAGCAGAGAATAATAACTTTTATTAAAAGCTAATTGATTAAGTCCGAGAGAGACGTTAAACAGTCTAAAGAGGTTTGTTTAAATCCACGCTACACTCAGCTAGCGATTGACCAAGTTTGTTACACTTATTATCGTCAGCACTTTTTCTTTTTCTACTCCCGGGCTTTGACGTGGTAGCTTGTTCCTTCCCTTTTTCGTGAGTAGCGCCTTGTTGCCGTTGTTCGCCTTAGAGAATCGTCTCCATTCCTTCAGCTGCAAACACCAATGCCTTGAATTTGTCGATGTCGATCACTCCTAAAAGATGGCGAATGTTTGGGTTCATACCAGTTAGGAATCGCCCACACAAGGTGTTTTCCGAGGTAGCATACTCTGGCACCAGTGCAGAATAACTCCGGAGCGCCTCTTCGAACTCATGGATCTTTCCACCTCCTTGCTTGATATTGAAAAAGATTTCCTTTGCAAGTTGACAGTGTGAAAGTGGGAAATGACTATGAATGAATCCTCGCACGAATATGGACCATTTGGGTTTGCTCAGAGTTCTTTTAGTCTCCTCCCATCCCATGCGGGGAGTTCCTATATGTAACGCCCTCAAACTGACCTAGTTTTAAATAAATAAATATTATTTATTTATTGAGACTCATTGTTTTAAATAATAAATATTGAGATTTCGATCCGTTCAAATGATTCTCAAAGCTATCGTATTTTAATTATAAAAGATGTTTTGATAACGGGTCTCTCGACATTAATTAAGTAAATAAATTAATTAATGATTGGGATGGATCCGGAAGTTTGAAAATAAAGTTTTGAGAAAAATATTTTGAAGATATCATAAATTTAGTTTTGACTGTTTATTTCCGAAAACGCAATCAGTTCTCGATTTGGACCAGTTCGGGGGAAAAACGCGTACCGTCCAGGTCAGATTTTACACAACGGAGCGAATTTATGAGGAGTAACTCCCATTTTCCTCTCCCACGCCACACACCCTTCACTTCCCTCTCACTTCTTTAACTTAAATGTTCCATTATTGCCTCATTACTTCCCAATCAATATAAGCAACCCTCTCCTCTCCTTTCCTCATCATTTTTGTAACTCCCAACATTCACACACTCTCCCTTCCTCTCCCCTTGTGTATTCGGCCAGCCTACAGCAGCCCAAGAGGTGATTCCGGCGAGTAGATGAGGAGGAAGAAGAGAAGGAGGTGTCCACGAGAAACCATTTGTCGTTCAACGTTGTCAACCATTCGTTCATCTCGTTTCATCGTTCCCTTCATGTAGAGGTGAGTAGTTGTCCCCTCTAATGCTAGAACATCAATTTATAATCTATGTCGTTATATTCATAGGAATATCGTACGCAACCTACGTAGAATCTATGCATGTTCGTAGGTTAACCATCAAAACGTTCACTACGTAAAAATCGTGTATTCTGGCCTATGAATCACTAGGAATACATTCATCAATGTTTACATTGTTGTTCTAAAAAGAATCAATGGGTTAAGTTTGCAAAATGGATCGGAGCGTAGCCAAGGACAAAGGGACTATCCTCGGGACGGTCGACCGCCACTACGGACGGTGGACCGTACCCTCGGCCTGTCCGACGGTCACCACCGGGACGGTCGACCGTCAGCCACGTCGGAAGACCTAGGTGGACCGTCAGTAACCCAGAACCAGACCGTAGCCCCACGGTCGACCGCCGCTAGGGTACGGTCGATCGTTCTGCGGGCAGTTTCCTGGGCAGTTGTAGAATAAGCCCCGTTGACCATATTGACCCAGAATCTGATGTATGTTTGCATGAAATGTTAATAATCATTATGTATGTTATTTAATTCATATATTCTTGGCATTGACCAAAGGTAAATATATCAAGCATTCATCATGTTCATCCTAGACGCATGTCTTAGGTTCATCGTCATGTGCATAACGCTGTAGGGAGGTCAGGCTTTCGTGCGCCTACTATAGTGGGCCCGTCCAGGAACCTTTGGGATCCAACGGGTTTTCATCAGGTGGGCTTTGTGTACGTACATGGTAGTCAGGCTACGGCTACCACCCAGTTTTGCTAGTTCACTTGCGACATTTTTGTCGAGCCCGGCTCATGACCGGAGTACAGGGGTGATCCTGTCAAGTGAGACTAAGCCAGGGGTGTCCCTGATAGCTTAAGTCATGCATCAAGTCATATCGTCATCATGTGGGTTCCATGTCATTTCAACATTCAATGTGGTCGTCATCATCATGTATGTTCTACGTCACATCAACATTCAATGTGGTAGCACATCATTTTGTTATATGTAATAGTACCCCAACAGGTGCAAACTAAACAGTTAGTAAAAATGTGGTTTTTCGTACATTAAGTACAGGTATTATTATGTGTATAATCATATGGGTTATCACTTCGTGTTCTTTTGTTAGATTCACTCCTCAGCTTTTGCTGAGCGTGTAGTTGTTTTTGCTACACGCAGGTAGACATGACGGTACTGGTGCCAACCCTGGAGGATAGTGATGATGGGAAGATGGGTGGAGCACGGACGAGTTTAATAATTAAATAAATTTAATAAATTAATCATTTGGGCAAGAACCCACCATTTGTCGTTTTACTTGTTTTGGACTTATTTATTTACTTCCGCTTTTACTCTGCATTTATATCACACACGTTTTGGAGATAACTCCCTAGCATTTATTTCACTAATTTAACCCAACCGTTTTCTTATTAAATATTCATTAATGTTTTACGTTACGGACGGTTCTCGGACCGCCCATGTAACCCCACCGGTCCGTCGGGTCGCGGGTGAACCGGGTCCACGGAAGGCGGGTGTTACACTATAAGTAGCTCTTCTGCGATTTGGATTTCTTGAGTGGCTCTCTCCTTTCCCTTACTTTGAGTAGAGGATTCAATATTGGGTTGAATTGAGGCCATCTAAGAATTCTAGACTTTACTTAGTAATAGGAAATAATTTGGTTTATGAAGGATTCTTACTTGGATCTCATTGTATAAATAGGGCATATAATGTGGAAGTCACTCTAGTGTCAATGTCTTAGGGTTCTAGCCTTTTTGACTTTCATTACAAATCGAGCATGTTTTTCAACATTTTAAGATTGCGAATCCAACTATTCGTGATTCTCGACATGTCATATCGTAAGCAGAACTCTAGTAATTACGTAGCACGTTCACTTGTCTTATCCCAAGGGTCGTGGTAAATCGAATCTACTATTCTCATGGATCCATCATTCTGTTCACTTTTTGACTTTGAGACTCAGTTCAGTCACTTCTTGAGTTCGTGATGTGATAGTTACTCTTTTTCAGTGATAAATTATCAGGTATATATTAGGATAATGAAGAGAAACTCTTTCTCATATCATGCAAGGAACTTCTCGAACTCTTCCTTACACAATAAAATCAGTAGGTCTTCTAGGTAGTCATGTCTTTGGTAGTAATCCAAGGTTTATGGCCATTGCAGTAAGTTTAGGGAGGGAACTAGTGAAACAAAATATCAAACTTGTTTATGGAGGGGGTAATGTCGGCCTTTAAAGAGTTGCTGCTTCAACTGTTTTTACCAATGGTGGTTTTGTTCTAGGCTTTATACCTGGGTATATAGCTTTGCGACGGGTCTATGGGCATACGTATGGTGTAGAGCACACAGTCTCGAGCAATTATTACAAGTATTTTGAGATGAACCATGCGGTGGAAGCTTTCATAATACTTTCTGGAGGAGTCGAAGCTATCGAGGGTTTGTTCACTCTAATCTCGCGGGCATCCGAAGGATTGCATAGCAAACCCATCGGTCTATTAAATATCGATGGTTATTTTAATAACCTTCTCAAGTTTCTGGATGATGCAGTAAGACATAATTTCATGGCTCTCAACTAGAGGAAATTGTTCATTTCCTCTTCCTTCATTGATGAGTTGTTAAACAAACTAGAGTTTGCTAAAGATTTTCTAGGATCTGGAGCAAGCTATGAAGAATTTGCTAATCCTATGAGACTAGACTTAGAGTTGCACCTGTAATCTTTCCCATGTTATTTAAGTTGTGTTTGTATTCATACAACATTGTTCATGGACATCATGATTTGGTTATACATATTGTTCTAAGCTGCATGGCCAGGGCAAATTAGAAAAATATTTATCTCTAACGTCAAAATGTATCATGGAAATACGTACTTTATTCCAATAAACCTTATTTTCTTTCAAGTTACTATGTTTCCCTCGATCTTATTAAAGACAAATATTATCCTCTCAGTTAATTAATTAATTTTTTGTCCGAGTTTCTGTCATAGGTTCGAGATATATGACGTCTCTCCCCCTTAAGGGGTTTTGACGCGATTGAAGGACCTTACGTTCAGCGATACGTATCGTATCTACTGTTTGTTTGAGATTTGATAGTGACGTTTGTAATCATCATTGATTCTGCCATCGCTTCCTTCCACTAATAGTTGACTCGTTAAGTTTCCTCAACGTACGGGGTAGTTCACCATATCTTGGTACTACAAATAATATTCGCTTAATTCAAATATAATAGTTAATTATATTATAGAGTGTTGAGTTACCTTCCGGAGTGCAGAGAACGTGGAGAGCGTGTAACGCCCCAAAACATACCCTAGAATTATTAATAAATAAATAATAAATTAATCAAATTTGTTTTGATTAAAATAATTTATTGTTTGACTTTGGGCCGAAATAATATGTGTTTGATATCCAATATCTTAATCTAGATAAATCTCATAGAGATAAATCCAATATATTGACTAATTATGTAATCTTGGTTGGGGAACCTAAGTACAAACCCAAAATCAGTAATAAATGAATAATGTGTTTATGATGTAAACTTTAAAATGATTTATTGAAATAAATCATGAAAATAAATAATATGAATTTAGTATGAGCACCTTTTTAGGTAAAGGTCAAATAAATCAATTTTGACTTTGTCAAAGTCAAACACCAAAAATATGATGTCAGAAAAAGTATAACAAATAAATGTAAAAATTATATCGTTGGATAAAGTTTAATTGCACGATCGCAACGGTGCAAACAGATTTCAATTCGGAGAAAGTTGGACCAAAAAGTATACCCCGACTGGACCAAATTAGTCCCAGTCAGAGAGTAACGTGCTGAGTCTCCTTAAGTCGCACTATCGCCAAAAGAGAACGTGAATTTCCTAGGCAGCATCTACTCAGACTTTGTTTCCTTCTTCTTCATCTTCCCTATATAAGGAGAGAGCTAAACTCTCATTTCTTCACCATTCATCTTCAAACTTCTTCCTAAGTGTTTCTAAGAGTTTAAGGAGTGTAGTGGTGCTGCCAATTTGGTGTGAAGCCGCCGGAGCTAACCACAAACCTCGCCGGAAGTCAATTTTGTGTTTGATATGTTTGAAGAACCAAGAATCATAAACATTGAAATTGTTGTTAAAACTACGAGTTAATGACTCTAAAATGATCTGTGAACATTGGGGAACATTTCTATATAATTTAATTGAAGTTTGGTAATTAAAAATGATAATATTAAAAATTGACCAAAGGAAGAAGATGATGAACAGTGGCCAAAAATCGATTATTTACTTCCTAACAATCGATTAGAAATTTGTTCAGATGAGGTGTTCGAAGTCAGTATATTAAAAACTATATAAATAATCGATTATTCTAATTATAAAAATCGATTTAAATGTATTAATTGATTATTTAATAACTAAAAATCGATTTTAAGGTATTAACTGATTATTTAAAATATAAAAATCGATTTTTAGGTATTAATGGATTATTTAAATTTTAAAAATAGATTATTATTAATTAGTTGATTATTTAAATTGTAAAAATTGATTTGTATGGATTAATTGATTATTTATATTGTAAAAATCGATTATTATTAATTAATTGATTGTTTAAATTGTAAAAATCGATTATTATGAATTAATCGATTATTTAAATTGTAAAAATCGATTATTATGAATTAATTGATTATTTTAAATTATTTTCCTCAATTCCAGATCCTGCTACGAAAATGATCCTGAAAATATGCTCTAAAATCCTATTTTTGATACCAATTAATTATGCACAATATAAATATTATTTTGTATAATAAAAATGATGTTTTTGGCATATAAAATATTATGTGATGCATGACGGTAAGTTCGGGTGTTAACATTCGAGACTAGGCCGCTGTTTGTTATCAAATGTTATGTTGATTGATGATTATGATGAATGATTATTATGATGATTATGACTTGATGAAACTACTGATTAAAATGATTATTGAAGATTAAATTATGAATTGAAATGAATATGTTGATGATTATGAAATGATTTGAATTGTAAGGATATCTAGAAGAACTCTAAGATATACCTAGGTTGACGTTGGTTTCTAAGATTATCTAGAAGACCTCTAAGATGGCTTAGAAGTAGGCCTTGCGGGTATAATTATGAATATTCGGTGGCCTGGGTTAAAACGTACGTACGGGATCTACAAACCAAACTAGAGGAACNGCCAGGATCACATTAATCTTTCTGTTTACCTGCGTGTAGCAAATAAAACACACTACACGCTCAGCGGTGAAGCTGAGTAAGCATATCTAAAGCGTCGAACATCCACATTAATTGAATCTCAATTCATAATCGACCATTTGATATCATGCACACAATATATAGTTCAAACATTCATAATATTTTCCATATTTTATTCCAAGTCATTTGATATTCAATATATCAATAATGCTCTTAAATCATTCTTAATCTAAGGCCAAATCATTTCATAACAACTCTTAACTATTCCTAGTCTAAGGCAACATTTCTAACTAGGCCCTTAAACTATAAATAGTTTAATGCAGAACACAAGAATCGATAATCCACCCTATGAGTCATGTGGATTACGTACCAACCGAACAGTGAACTGCCGGGTGGGTGATATCCGTTCTGGATTCCGTACGTACGTTTTAACCCCGAAATATGAATTGGTCAAGGAGGTATATCTTAGAGTTCTTCTAGATATCCTTAATAATCATCATCATTATACAAGTGGGTATATCTTAGAGTTCTTCTAGATATCCTTAACAATATACATCATTTTCATAATCATCATTATATCCATTTATACGTCTTGTCGTATTCAACTTTCTTCATCGATTTTGGAATAAATCTAGATACGTTCTTGATAATGACGGGTTTGATGTAACACTATGGTTGATTTCATTTTGAGTGAAGAAGATAATATCTTCAGTACGTGATTCAATTCATGAATTCATAGAGTGAGGAATCTTTACTAGTTCTTACACCAACATCGCATATAGGTTCAGAATCATCACTTGAATGATTCAGCCTGTTCTTGTGACGTCATTTCTTCTCTGGTTGTCGCACATACATTTCCTTGCTAGGATTCTAACAATATCATTGATAATAATCCTCAGAGATAGCTTGATTGTATTGATCGTTTTGTAGTGCACAAAGAGAGGTTTAACATAATGTTCAAGTCAGGGTATTTTTACTATTGTGATCGAGTCACGTATTCCAAGGGTATAGTTTTCAAATATCGGTATCAAAAAGCATCTTGGGGATTACATTGTGAGTTAAGACAAATTTTTCATGGTTCAATATCTTGATACTAGTAATGGAATTCAATCTTTTCAAGATTGGTCAAGTGGGATGTTTCGAGAGTGTGATCAACACAATAAGTTTGAGTATTTCAAGGGTATGAATCAGAAGATACAAAGATAACGTTTGTGAATTATCGTTACTAATCGTAGGTTTTCATCCCTCAATGTTTCACTCTTTGGAAGCTACTCAAGAAGTCATTGTCTTAGGGAAATAGCCGTTTTGACTTTTCGTCTCGGATTTAAATGTGTTTCAGGACAACGAATCCAACTGTATAAGAGTCTCAATGCGTCATATCATCAGCAGACTATAATATTACCGAGTACGTTCTTGTCTGTAGGTATATTGAATACATTTTACTGTACGTATTTTGGCTGGTGACAATTACCTTTCCACCAGTGGTCAGGTTTCTGAGGCTATATATATATTATGATTATAGAAAGAGTATCTCACATTCTCACATTATGGAAGGAATTTCTCGAACACTTCCTTACACTATAAGATTCGTTGGTCTTCTTGGCAGTCACTCTCTTGGTAGAAATCCAAAGTTTATGGCTACTGCGGTAGATTTAGGAAGGGAATTGATAAGGCGAAAGATTAAACTTGCCTATGGAGGAGGTAGTGTTGGCCTTCAAGGAGCATTTGCTTCAACAGTCTTCACCAATGGTGGTCTCGTTACAGGTTTCATTCCTGGGTACATAGCAATACGACGGGTCTACGGACCTACATATGGCGTAGAGCACACAGTTTCCAGCAATTACTACAAATATTTTGAGATGAATCATGCTGTGGAAGCTTTCATCGTTCTTCCCGGAGGAGTTGACACTATGGAAGGTTTGTTGACCTTGATCTCGTGGGCTTCTGAAGGGTTACACAATAGACCCATTGGTCTCTTGAACATTGACGGTTATTTCAATAACCTAATCAAATTTCTAGACGATGCAGTGAGGCAGAACTTCATGTCTTTGAGTCATAGAAAACTTTTCATTTCTTCTTTCTTTGTTGGTGAGCTTTTAGACAAATTAGAGTTTGCTAAAGCTTTCCCGGGACCTGGGGTTAGTTACGATGAGTTTGTGAATCCTGGAAGACTAGACTTGGAATTGCATTTATAACTTTCTTCACGTAATCCAAGTTGTATTTTGTGTTTAAATAATATTATCCATAAACATCAATGGTTAGTCATATGCGAGCTACATTTTCTTCGTTCTTCAATCTTTCACTGTTGGCGTCACTTATTCACGTCAAACGAGTCAATCGATTTGTCTAGTCAGCATCACTATGTTTCACTTAGTCAATTCAGA